TACCGCTTGACATGTGTGTTACAATAAAAGTGTTCTGTGAGCCTGGCCACGAAGTGGGGAAGGAAATTAAACTTTTCGGGAAGAAGACCGAGAGAAAGAATGATCGGCACTTACCCCAGACGCTCTAAAAAGCACAGATCTTTCCTAATTTCTAATAAATAATTACATTATTATTATTACCAAAAAGAAGTAAATTGGGAAAGAAATAAATGGGATAAATTAATGAAATACAGAAAACATAATCAACATATAGTAAAAGTGAATTCGTATAAAATCCAGTTCAGGGAAATGCTTGTGGTTCAAGTTTAACGTGCGTGTGTTGCGTCAGGGAAAGTAATTGCTGTTCACCGATTAGGTCCGTAATCGCAGGTAGTTATAGGTCAGAGATCATTATCCGCGGACTCTGGGAAGCCGGAGAGCTTCTGGGAAACCGGTGTCGAGTTCGTTTACTCGATTCTCCATAGTAATCGGCGCCTGGCGTACCGAGTTTCGAGTTAATGGGAGGAGTCAATCAATCCTAGCCGCTGCAAAACTAGTTAACCGGTAACGCTAATTATCTCATTGCCCCCAGCCGAGTTTATTGCACCTTAGATAGATCCAAGATTCTCTTGATTAATCGCGTGACCAACACTTCAAAATCAATCTCATTTCACTTGTTCAACCCATAGATCTGTGCAAAAACTAACAAAATAGCTGTACATATATTTTTTATTATAAATCATACTGAAAATTAGTTAATAATAATCAATGAGCATCACCTGAGTTGTGATAAATGTATTAAAAGGAATCATGCACCAAATTAATGAATGATTATGATACTGAATGTCATAAATGTTATAATAGATGTATTAAAAGAAATCATACTGAAAATCAATTAATATTTGTACCAATCAGTAAGCATGATTAAATATGTTAAAAGGAATCATACAGCAAATCAATTAATGATTATGATAATGAATGAATATGACGTAAATGTTATGATAAATTCATTACAATAAATCATACAGTAATTGAGTTAGCAATGAGTACAAGATAAACGTTAAGAGCCTCTTAATATCTCAAATCAATCATAATTCACGTATGTTGAAAACTACGAGGTTCTTATCACTGATTTACTTAGTGATTTGATTGAAGCATATACAATAAAGTTGCAATACGTGCAGACACACAAGACGAGCCAGTAAGAAATATAATTTAAAATTATCCAGTGATCACTGATATTGTACTAAGCAGAAGTACATTTTATAAATACATAGTATGTCTTGAAAAATCATCAAACTAGTTGTAAAATATGATTTATCAAAATGGTATAATAAATGCGTACTCAGTATTTATTGATAAACTCATGAAATAACAAGTTATAAAATATGATTTATTAAAATAGTATAATAAATTTATATCTCAGTATTTCTTAATAAAATCATTAAACTACAAGTTATAAAATACGATTTATTGAAATAGTATAATAAATTCATGTACAGTATTTCTTGATAAAAACATTAAACCACAAGTTATAAAATATGATTCATTAAATTGGTATAATAAAATGATGTACAGTATTTTTTGATAAAATCATCTAAGCTACAAGTTATTAAATTTTTTATTGACTCGCCCTGCTATGTTATAATCATGATTATTTTCCCCGTTGCAACTCACCCGTGACATCTCGTGGCAAAAGGACAGTTATCAGTGATATCTGGAGAAAGGAGTAGGTGACGGAGGATGGCTGGCGGCGATACGGTTTCTTCAGGGCCTGTTTAGAGGCCGGCGGGGTTCGACTGTGCGTCGAACGCGGACGAGCTACTGGCCTTCACTAAAGCGCCGCAGCGTCCCCGACGCCCGACGCCCGGCCCCGACGCCAACGTCCGCGTCGGCGTCGCGATGCTCCCGATCGCGTGCGATCGTGTGCTTAACGGTGTGTCCACGCGATCTCCGCGAAGACCCGGCTTGCGATTCCACTATTTTGGTAACGTCGTAAACTTAGTTTTGTCGGTTAACGATTTCCATTAACGAGCCGTGATAACGTAATTTACGAGGACCAAGTTTTTACCCCATTAATACGATTTACGGCAGTGCTGTTTAATTAGGCTGCGGAATCGAAACATTCAATCTGCACTAATTAAAATATTGAGGAATAGTACCTCGTCTTTCTATTAATTATCAATTATTATATCAATCAATGCGTCAATCAACAAATGTCATCAAATATTTTACTAAGCATTACAATTATTATATGAAATATTCTATTATAAGGCTTGTGTGCGATACAATTCAGTTTAATACTTATATAGCTTTTATATGTATAATAATTTAATACGCTTCACATGACAATTCTCATTGAGTCGCTGTATGTTTCTTATTTGACAATTATTGAAGCAGGAAGCTCGGGTCGTCGTACGATCGTTTCGTGCACGCGGCTGAAGAAATATCTCAACAGATCCATTATTCGACGGAGAGAATCTGCGGCTGGTACCCTCGGTTTAATGGTTTCTCGATCTCTCTTCTATGCCTACCTTCGTTGGAAAACTTTTATCCGACTCAATCATTCTGGTCACGACATTCGAGCTTTTACCAAGTCAACTCTGACAGGCGAAAGATTTACGGTCACCAGTGTCATCGAACGGGGAACAATTATCCGAAACGAATGGTACTTATAATTTGCCGGTTAATGCCCCGCTAGATAGCACAGGATAAGTTTCATAGAAAAAGACTATCGTTTATGTACAATAACCAGAGATCTCATCATCTCTGCTATAATTAGACTGCAATCCTTAATAACTTTATAATTAAACATTTTGATATTTTATTTGGTATAAAAATCAGTATTAGTAATGAAGCAATTTGAATTTTTAAAGATATTCTCACGGTACGAAGAAGTCTGACCAGTGCTAGATTATTCTACTTGAAATGCTGTGCACACGAGATGTTGTAATCACGAAATAATTTTAAGCTGAGTATTATTAACTGGATCACCTTATTCAGCTACGGTCGTGCACTCTGATACGCCGATTCGCGATATCATTGTAAATATTACTGTAACTGTCGATCATTGTTAACAACAGAACAATCGACAAACATATAGTCATTGCATCAACAAGATTTCTTAATCCATGGCTCTTAAATAATAAGATAAGCAGTTTCAAATATTATTGAACAGAATTTAGAAATGCTAGTTAGTACACAGGATCTTGTAGTATCTCGATTGTGAATGGCTTTATAGAGCAGAGAGATGCGTTGAACTGCAATTAGGAAACAGTAAGGTGTAAGTAGCGGCAGTAAACGGACCATTGGTATGCAGAGCCAGGTGAATCTATTCTCACAGAACCGTGCCTGGAACCACGTGGTACGCGTTACCCAAGAAAATGACTTTCCTTCTTGTTTCTCGCACTAAAACCGATTTGAAGACTTTTTAAGTATCTTTTACCGAACCTCTCGAACCGAACGCGACCACAACCGACGTATCCCATTAATTTTCACAGAAAAAATGGAAGGTTCTCTTTGGCAAGCTACTCGTTACACTCTTCATTTGAGAATTGGGAATCGTACGGCGAATTCTTAAGAGATATTCAACCAAGTATGTGACTGATAAATGAATGGATCTGCAGAAACAAGATAATTGTGCAAACCCGGGATAACAGGGGTCGGAGGCAAAATAAGAATTTGGTAAACCATTACAAAAATAAGTAATGATAATTTTCTGTGTTCAGGTACAACAACGACTCCGACTCACCCTGCAGTATATTTGCTACTATCGTGCTGCACATAGATTCGCTATTTCTCAGATACATTTTTCCTAGATGTTCATTTGCGTGGTCGGCTTCCTGTGGAGGGCAAAGAACCGAGCTCGTCACACCCGCGCAGGATGCCACTCTAATCTACATGACTCTTGGCCGAGGAACAATTTTATTCCTGTCGCGTGCCTCCCCCGAACGAAACGGAAAGAGAGAGAAAAAATAAACCGGACCGCGTATCGATTTATTCCACCGTTGTCAAGGAACTTGCATTTCAATATCATCGTGTGATAAGATTGCGTTACACACTTCCTGTTGTTCTCTCCCATCTTCCCTGGCACGCACGTTTCACCTGGCATCTCGGGCTATATCAATGGAATTTACGATCGTCGTTAACCACGGCTACTATCATGCCTCATGCAATCATGGAAATTCACAGTGACCTAAACAAACGATAATCGTATCAATCCCTCGCGTTGCCAAGTCTCTCCTTTACCTGTATAAGATTCATCCATCATGTTCTAAACCACACCTTCAGTCAAACAAAAAATTATCAGATAGCAATAGCGTTTTATCTGTATTATTATTGAAGATGTAAAGAAGCTTCTATCCATTATTCTGTCAAACAGCAATTAATAGGCTTCTTTTGTATTTCCTTTTGGTCTATTCATTTTTTTTTTATTTCTGTAACGTCTCATTGAGATAGAGAAACTACTGGCAAAATTACACGTTCATCCAACCGGTTGATAAGGATTCATGTAGTGGTGGGGTAAAATGCGCGAGAGGAGCAGACGATAGATAATAACGTTCGCGTTCGCATGCCTCGACCCCGGCCTCTCAAAGTCCGTCAGGCTTTGGTGCCCCCGGGGTCACCCTCTCATCTATATTCGATATTATTTACTGTTTCACTAATACAATCGGCCCGGCTTGATTAAACCTCACGTTTCTGTAAAACTGTAAACTGCTCGAAAATTTGTTTGTTGCTCGATGAATCAGATCTACGAGCGATCGATAATTCCGATCGACAATACGCTTTCAACATTCTTGGATTTTAATCACACTTTCGACTTTAATGACTGTCACTTTTGTGGAAAATGAAATAATTTTTATATTTAATTGGAATATAGGAATTTGTTTTACAATTTGATATTCTACGTTAGATATTACCAACTCTTATTATAAAATCAGCAGATCACACAGTAGTTTCACACAGTTTGAAAACCCAGCAGTTTCGGAGTTTAATTTATTTCAAAATAATCAATGGAAACGTGCTTGAAACAAGTCTGTTTTATTGATACACTGTTCTCACAATATGCTCGCGAGTATTTACACGGATTACTTATGAAATATCAAATACTATAAATGCAGAAATTCTGCAACGCCGCTTACAATTTTATGTACTCGTTTAAAATGAACGATAGCTTAATTAAATATTTACAAGTTGTCGATTTTAAAATGCAGACTATAAAAAATATATATATTATACATAAAGTTAATATTTTATTAATTGATGTTTCATGATATTCGCGTATAGGTGCACGTGGGTGTCGCGCGTGCTTATCTTCTAAAGGTCCAAAGTCGCTTCGCGGGTAAGGGGGGGGAGGAGGTAAGGGGTGTTTAGACTTGAGAAAGAAGACGAAATATTTATCTCTCGCTAACCGTATCAGGCTCGAATCACCGTTCCGATATTTCTGAATCACTTCTCCCCTGACGAAAATAATTTAGTCTCACGTGGTAAAATGGAATGCAACTGCACGCACGATCGATCGTTCTCCTGTTTACATTTTCGTTGGTATCACGTTAAGGGAAAACTCGTCAGAGGTTGAGTACCAATTTAAAAAGATAGGAACGTCCGTTAATCGCAAGAGCGGCGCCTAACAACGCGTCTAACGGCACGTGATTGGAACGTGTGCGTCCGCTTATTTTTCGTCGATTTTTTCTTACATTGCTCCAGTCGCGATTCCAGGAAAATTTATCATCGATAAGGATGAACTTGACCTCAGCAGGCCGGCGCGTCCCCCGCTCGATTCTCGCCGATCTCCTTTCGCTCTTTTTCAATCGCGTTCCTGCCGTCCACGAGAAACTCAACCGGCCCTTTATTCCACACTCCGAAGGAGGAGTGCGCGCCGGTTTTCGAGCCCGTGCGAACAAACCGTTTCTCGTATCCGTTCTGCTTTCTTTCGCAGTGGCTCTGTTCGCGCGACTGCTTTAACAAAATATATACTCCGATTAGACTGAAAACAGGTTTCCTCGTCTAGCTAATATTACTGATAGTTAATGTTACTGCACTACCGCCAACGGTGGGTTGTGCTGCACCGGCTGCGCCCGGATCATTCCTGCGAGCCGTCTGAACGGCAGCTGGAGGTGGCAGTAAGCGCAATACGGCAGCGGGTCCCAGTACGTGAATAGTGCTTCCCGCTTGTCGAGCACCGTGCCCAATAGATTCGGCGCTACTTCTCCGATTGATTGATTGAACGCTGAGGACACCGCGTCCGTCAAAGACTGCCTGTCCATGGATGGCATCGGAAGTCCAGAATTTTGCCGGGAGAAATGTCTGCACGGTTTCCAGACGAGTCTAGGGTGGATACCGGTGTGACAGATGTACGGCAAGCTCACGCCTACTCTACAACCGATAGGCATCAGGTCCCCTTCCTCCGACAGAGCCAGCCTGAAGCTGAGATGTCCGTTTATTCGAACGCGGAAGGATCTAGCGAAGAATCGCTCGAGCCACTGTACCACTTCCGGTCGATCCTCCGGAATCAATCCCCTCCCCTCGTCTACCAGACAGGTCACGTTCGCAACGATCTTCGACTCCTTCACAGTAGTACAAGTTATGTAATGTTTGCCGCTCGGGTCGCGAATAACTATCCAGGGTGTAGCCTCGCTGATCTCGTATTGATAATTCCTGAACTCTCTCAACGTTGGAGGCAGAACCACCTTTCCTCTGTCCCTCATTCCTAATGGACCCGCGGCCAGCATCAAATACCTCCCGTTGGCGAACGCGTTTTGCCCGTACAATCTCGAGATCTCCTGCATGGATCGTAGGATGATGTGATTTGGCGTCGGGAGGGCCAGTGCCCGGCACCTTTGGAACAGTTCTAGAGGATCGTCCAGCGCGGTCACTTCACTGGCACCGGGTACAAAGCACTCGCAGCCCATTACCTCCAGATAGGGCTTCGCCAGGGAATCGTAATAGGCTGTGTTACTGGCGCTCACCGGGATGTAGTACACAGCCTTCTCTTTCTGCACGATGTCCTTCAGAGCTTTGATGTATTCGATAGCGTTCCCTGGCCCCGGTTTGGGAATAGTGTAGTACTTGGAACAAGCAGTGGAGAATTTCGCCAATCCAAACAGGCCCTCTAATTCGCAGACTACTACTCGGGCACCGGCTTTATAAAAATTCCGCGCTAGGTGCACGGTTTGCACGGTGCTACCACCGCTGATCAGGACGCAACGTTTCGTCCTGGACCTTTCCGAAGACGGGGTGTACAGCATCATTAAGAACCACTTAAAAGCGGTCAGAGGGAATTGAAGTATTACCCAGAGCATGTAGATCCAAACGGACACCCATAACGCTGGTGCCCATATCGCGTAGCTTATTACGCTCGCGATCCCCTGAAACGTGTCGATCAATGCGGCGAAGTACGACGTGAGGATCCTCACCAATAATGGGGAGTCGTGTTGTCGGTTGTGGTTTTGCCCTTGTGGTGGATCTTGATGGTTCAGTTGTAACCTTTGCCTCTGCTGCTGCTGTTGGCGTCTCGGTGAGAATATTACAGTCGGTGTCCCGGAGTTCGTCGACGATTGAGAAACGTTCGAAGTGTTCGAGGAATTAGAAACGTTCGAGACTGACCTCTTCAAGGTGGATATTGGGGATATGAAGGGCGGCGAGGTGGACAGAGGCGAGCTGGGTATAGGCGGTGACACGCTGCTGCTCCTGGAGATCGAAGGGCTCGAGGACCAAAACGTCGAGACGTTCTCGCTGGTGCAAGCTGGCATTTTTTTTCTTTTATTATTCGTTTATATCGAGATCTGTGTATCAGTTGAAATCTGTTTGTCCGAGTATCCTCTCGAGCAGAGGGTTCATAGTTTGATTCTGAAGCGAATGTTGAACATCATTCCTTTCAGATTAAAAATTGAACTTTCGTATAGACTGTCTCTTGGAGGAAAAGTGGTTTAACGTAGCACACGACACTCGCGGTATACACTGAATCGAGAACTCGGTTTTGCCAACGAATTCGCCGCTTTGCATACACAGCTTTAACTGAGGCCGGTCCTCCGGTCTCTTCGTCTCTTATGCGTTTTGCATCTCGAACGCACTATGAACCGAGGTCTTATCTAATCGTGCAGCCTCAGACACAGCGACTGGAAGAAACAAGGAATCGAGTCCTCGCTCCGATCGTATATCTCTTCGTATTCTTTCAGCCGATTTTTTTTCTCTTCGTTTTCTAATACTCGGAGATTAGTTAAGATAGATTGTATAGAAATTACAGCGATAAAACGATTCTGTGAAACGTGACAAATTACTACTATTATAAATTCTTTATTTTCTTTTATTTCCATTCATGTTGTAATTATAATTGAAGTATCTGTGCATTTGTAGATTATTGTTTATTTTTGTGTACACTTTTTATTTCTAATATATTATGTCACAATTAAGCTGAGTGATAGCGTTCCTGTTTTTATTCCTATTTATTTAAACAACAAAATATGAAAACGTCTTACGTAAGTATAATTCATATAGATAAAAATTAATTCATACAGATAAACGGAAAATTGAAAATTTCAGGATCGAATTAAGGAAATTTAATCAAAGAGAATTATTTAATATTTTGTGAATTAAATACGAAAATAAAATACGAATAGAAGTCGACTGAATTCTTTGATATTCACTAAATGCTTGAATTAATTCTCAGTATCTCATCATTGATTTCTTTAAGTATCTATTTCGTTATTAGAAATAATCTGGTTAAAACGTCCTCTTTTAATAAACTTATGTAATCTGTCATTCAAAGCGTGGAACTATTATCAAAATCGAATGTATATCTGCGTTTCTAAGTCACAATTTTAGTAGGCCTCTTTAGTTGGTCTTTTTCGTCTAACACATTCAGATTTAATGCATATAAACAGATTAATGTTCGTTTTGATTTTACTACAGATTAATTTAGGAACGATTAAAAAATTCTTGATAAATGATACCAAGGAACGAATTAAGAAACACGAATCTTGCTGCAATAAATTGTGATCCTTCTAATTTTCAGTTGAGACATACGAGTAACAGATCCTAATTTCTTAGAGGTATTAGGTATCACTTTATAGATCGTATTTATTAGATCTGCAATGGATATACGTATATATATGTACAGTAAAGAGCAAAATTGAGTCAACAACATCTAAAACCGGAAAAAAAATTTTATTATCCAACCAAACGATCCATGTTAGTTTAATAAATGATGTGTAAAGAACACTTGATTTCTAAAAATTAAAATTAGCAGAAACCGTGAGGAAGAAGAATGAAGGGATTTGTAGTGAACATTTGAATAACTTATTTTGACCGTATTTTACATTTTTATTTTATTATTAAATCGGTTATGAGCTATAATTAAGTAGTGGTGAAAATCGCAATTCTCAAATAAAATCTGCATATTTTAATGCCCGTCGTTTCTTTCGGCATCGACGAGGTTCAATAAAATTTTCAGTATAAATGGTCAAATTGTCTTTTAATTTTCATTACAATTCCAAATAAAAAGTTATAAGAAAGCAGCGTTCATATTTTCCTCACGGTTTCTACCAATTTCAATTTTCACGAAATTCTCTTTATAGAATATTCAACAAACTAATCTATCTAATTACTAAAAAATCCACGAGTCACTTAAAAAAGTTATTTAGTTTTAAAGTGCGTTGACTCTGTTTTGCTCTTTACTCTACTTCTATGCTTGCAGGTATTTTGAGAAAATAAATTTTTACAACTTTTACCCATTCAATATAATTGCACTATCAGAATCTACTATACAATATGTTTTTGTTGTTTTTTCTTTTGCAAATACCAACTAACAGTACAATAGAACTACCTACATATATAATTTATATATATATATGTTTATATGATTGATGATCGAATGTATACACGTACGTAATTCCTATGTGCGGGTGAGAAACGTATACACACATATACATACATAAAATCGTACTCTCAAACTCATACATACCCGTATTCGACTGTTGGTTATTAGAATTTCTCCACATACTGTCTCCTTTCTCTAGAATTTTACTTAGCATTCTACGCAGTTAATACTTTTTTTTGTACACGTCTATGTATGTACAATTTGGGATGAAATAATCATTTCGCGTTGCACACACACCTCGCTAGTAGGAGTTCACTTAATGGTTTAAACATCGATACAATAGCAGTTTTTGTCGAACGCTTAAGAAAATATGATCGATTTGGTACATCAAATGATATTTCTCAACAGTCTGTTTTCCTTCCGCACGAAGGAATATATGCGTCTTCAAAATTCAGCACAGCAATTATATAAATAAATGAACAGCGTATTGGATAAAATGAAATTTATGTACGTAAGAGAAAAGTAACGTTGCCGAAAAGTGATGAAATTAGCTTTATTTTCGTCTTACACAGCGGTCATCGAATGCAACCGCTAATTATATGTTATGGGGTAATATATATATATAATGTGTATGAATACATATATATGTCTGCTCAGCGCTTAACTCTTTCTTTAGATATTATGTAGCATATAACAACAACATAATTTAGAATATTTTTTTCTTAAATAGAACATCGCTCTCATACCGCATACAATAAAATACGCAATGATTTATATTTAAAAATCTATTTTACGATAATCGTGGTACATCAACGCAGTTCGATTACAAAAATTCATAATACTGTTCGAAATTATCAAATAAAATTTGTCAGATTCGAAGCAAACTTAAACGCGCGCATGACTAGAAATTAAACCTATATATGTATATATATATATATATATTCTTCTAAATTAATCTTTGTCTTCGATTAGAATACGATTAGATCTGCGTGAGATTCATCCTGCCCCTTATCGTTCCGAGGATACGGAAACAACGTTTACGCTTGCCTTTAATCACAATAAACTGCAAGCTTTCCAATTCCGTTTCCATAAAACTAAGTATAAGCTTTGTTCCTCGTGTATACAAGTAGGAGTACAAAAGTAAAGATAATTGGCAATGTTTCTTTTTTATTAGAACTGGCATGTAGTAATGACACACAGATATTATTTGCACAAGATACGTGGTAACTCATCTTATGCGACAGCGTATAATCAAGAGATTCATGTGTTAGAATTTTCATTCGCACCGTTTCGCAGCGTTTCAACTATACCTCTTCTGCCTTCGTTATTACAGAAGCTATTCTTTCTCAAAGAATGCTTCGTCAACGTTGTGCTCGTATCGTTTATTCCTACCGTTAACGGTTCGAACAACATATACCGTGGCGAACTTTTGAGCCGCCTTCGCTCCAGGATTTTCGTCGTCACACTATCTCTTATTCTTGTTCCTTATAAAATTTGTGCCTTTAGAAAAATGGAAGTCGATAGAATACAAATGGTAGAATTCGTTATTCGTACAGGGAGACAATTTTTCATTATTTTCAATACCGCGAATTAATATATATCGCCGGTGTTTGGTTGATTCTCCTAATTGTCAGGCGAACTCGATTCTCCTAACGCCGTTTTATTACTCTCACGACTCTAGAAAACGTTTATTCAAGAACATGTTTTTTTTTTCGGTTTTTCTTTTAATTCATCTCCACTGTTTTTTATCTTTTTGTTTAACTATTAATTTTACACATACGTTCATGATATATTAACTTCATCTTTACGAACGATCGTGTTTTCACATTTACGACATTGCTTACGATATTACTGCTGGTTTTAGAGTCTATGGTTCTTTAACCGCCTTACAGTTAGAATAATAACACTTTTAATCAAGGTATTGTCTATTGCGAAGTTATGAGTTTTTTTTATATATATGTATATCGATAGAGGCAACGGTCACAAAAGTTGCACCGCAGTTTTTTGGGTATCAAGACTAATAGAAAAGTAAAATACCTAAAAGACCTACTGTTCAATGGTAAATTATACATCACCGACGATTCGTAGAATAAATTACATCGCGAACTGTGCCACCGCGTTATGTACATGACGTCATCGTAAAGAAGAGAACAAGAAAACATTTTATCAAATGTTAGCAATCATAGATAAAATACAAAAGAGAGCAGCACGGATGATACACGGTGTAGATAGAATTTTTGGTTGATATTAAATCTAACATTTTTCCATTAACGATATTGACATCTCGTATTGTTTCTCGGTATAATATAAAATAAATAGTAACAATAATCGTACAATACATTCGAACATGACATGGGGAGAATGATAGTTATATGTATCTTATACATTATCATTTACACCTTTGAAATCCATTGCCCATAAATTCGTTAAATTAAAATAGGAAAGAATAAATCACAGACTAACGCATATACATTAAATAAGTGCTTCTATACATGACCGTAACATGCGTACAAAGACTTTGAAAGGACGAAGTGTTCGAAAAAATGCGATATATAAATCAAATATAAAAAGTATGGAAAACGATTATACAAATTGTTCCTCGGTCGTAAAAGTATATATAAAAATTAAGCTCTGAACAGTGAAGAACGTGCAACACGTGTTTTAAAAATTATAAAGATACTTTGTCTCATACCAATTTTCTAAATACTGTTTTTTGAAATTTGTGTCTGGGTACAAACCTGTCGATAGAATGAAACAGGCCGATCGTTTTTAGGAAATGTCCTAAACTCGCAAGGGTAGTAAAAGATATATATAAGCGATTATTTATCGACAGGAATGTGATTGTAAAGCAAAATTTGATTTATATATAGCGAAATTAGACAAAAAGTGATCGTAACTAAAAATTGAAATGCAGCGATCGGTTTCCCTTATAATTAAAAACAAGGACGAAGGAAAAGAGTCGCGCGGAAATTCGGATAGAGACACGAAAGGGTACCCGGTTATTATGTACATTCTCACTGTACCCGCTCTACAACCGAATAACTTATAACCACTATCGATACATCTGCTAAAACTTAAGTGCTGCTCTCAGTGGAATGCTGAGAGCGCAATGACGAATAACAACCTTGACAGACCCTGACGGGTTTCAAAATTCCGAGCCTCGATATTTTCGATTCAAACCGGCTGCATCTGTGTGTAAACAGGACGAAGAATATTAATGGAAGACAATGAAGGTAAACAACTATTGTCGAATGTTTCGTGATTGATTTAAATCAAGAGGAGAAAATAATTGTGATTGTGGCAACTTACTTTGAACAGAATACTTGACCACAGTTACGACAGTGATGCCTCCTTTCGTAAAGATTAAATCTAACTCCGCAACCAACGCACGAATCCGCTCCCTCGTCCTTAAGCCAGTGATCGGCCACCGTGCGTCCTGGTTGTTCGCAAACGCTCCACGAAAATACTCTCCCCCTCGTATCTCCAACATAGACCGTTCTATGATCTCTACAATGCAAATAACATTATTTTAATATTAAGTTGTATAGTCCAATATTAAAAAAAGTTATTCAGCTTTGAAATATGTATGAATGTTAATAAGAGTAATGGTATATCTTTCTAAATAATCAAAGGGTCCTTTACCTCGACACTGCGAGAGCCGTTATAGATGCTGGTTCCGCGTTGTCCTTACGATCATACGCAGTGTGCATCGTTAATTTACTTCTAAACACTAGCTGCCTCTGCCATTTAAAGCCGTCCCTTAAGATATTCTGGGGATTAATCTTCCTTGGTTTCGTGTCAGCCTCGGAAACCATGACGAAACTATCAGTTAAGCTAGTATCACTTTTACTAGTTCGCAGAGCTCCCTCGGCATCTCCAGGATTGTTGAATGATTCACTATAGATAAAATGTTCAAACGATTGTAGAACAGCGTCAATAGTTGATAACTAGAAGTGAAAAATTATGAATGATTACTTGATTTGAGTTCCTTCGCTGTCTGCCCGGCCACCGCCTTCGCTCTTCCGGAACATCGGGTTTGCACGACTCTTCCTTCGTAGCACGATGGTAGGCGTATTATTGTTCTGCGGCGACGGCTTATTGCTAGAACCGTTGCTCGACTCGTTGTCGGAGCACTCTTCCTTCTCCTCATGCAGCCTCGACGCCTCTTTGGAATTCTCCGGTTCCGAGAGGCTACTTTCCGAGCCGCTTTTCGCGAGCAAGCTTGACCCTTCTGCGGAAATACTCATCTGTTTAACTAATTCGTGTACCCGTTTCTTCGTGTTCTCGTTTTGACTTTCACTTTTATTCGACTTGGCATTTTTCTCTTTGGTAGCGATAACTTCCTCGACTCTCTCATCCTCCGCAGGCACTTGTACATAATCCATCGACCACATCTATAAAAGCCCAAAATTTTCATTCGTTCGTTTACAAAATACCTATTAAACAATTAGACTTACGCGAGCCACGCCATCGGTCGACCCTGTCATAATCACATTTTGCGAATCCCATTCGTGGGTCTGACTGAAAGCGACGCATAAAATTTGCTGCATTCTGTCGGCGCGACCGACACAGGTATTAACGCTGGCGAGTTCCTCGCCATTGATACTCCATACGTGTAACCAAGTAGCCGCACAAGTGGCTATGTCTCCCTGCAGTAGATTGTTTCCATTAACTCTACGTAATCTTTTTAAATGTGTATTAAACGTACCGTCAATTCGTTTATGGCTACCGCAGCCACCGGGCCTGCATGTCCTCGAAGTTGGCGAACGAACAAGCAGCGAGACAGGTCCCATATAATCGCTGTGCCATCTCGAGATCCCGACACGATCACGTTGTACGCTGTGCTCGATGACAGGCAAGTAACGGCGTCCGTATGACCGTATAAGCATTGTTTAATCGCGAGTTGCCTCTTCGTGTACTCCCATACGGTCACAACGGAACTCGTGCCGGCGGTCACTATCAATTTGGAAGACGGACAAACGCAAGCGACTATCTCCCCGCCACTCTGTATCATAGCTTCGCAGACGAATATCGCTTTGTCGCTATCGTAGTTGCCTACTCTGAGGGAATGATCTGCGAAACCCCATGCTACGTACTTGTTGTACGACGGGGGAATAAGCGTTTTATTTTGTTCCACGGCCAACACCGCTTTGTCGACATGAAGTATCTGTCCTACCGGACCCTTTAATTCTGAAAAATGAATTAATATTCACGGTAGAAGATGTTTGAATGAAATTAAAAATGTTAACGAATGCAACGAACCTTTAATGGGTTGAAGCGATGGCTTCAAATTATCGAGATTATGGAAGAACAGTTTGTCGGACGTAGTAATGCTTAGACCAGGCGTGATCGGGCCGGGATCGATCACGCTAGTTCTCTGAGTCATCTTTTTAGCCGGATGCGGTTTTTTGAACAATTGCTTTGGTATTTGACCAAAATTGTTGATAAATCCTATAGTAGCGTTCTTCTTTAGGGGATCATCGATACTAAAGAATATAATAGAAGCGTTAGGACATCGTAAAGAAATATTGGAACACGACGATTTATCTTACTTGTAAATATCAACGTTGCCTTCGTAGAATAAATGATGGAATACGTTGACAGCTTCAACGGCGCCCGAACCGTTTTGTTTGCAACCGAATATTAAGTCGATCCACTGATGAAGATGTTGCGACACATAGTCGCATTCCAAAGCGAGTCGATGCACGCGTATAAATTCTCGAGGATCTTGTCTCGCCCACGGAGGCAACACAATGTCCCCTAATTGCACGCCGCTCTGTTTAGAACCTAGATCGAAATGATTCGAGTTGACGAGAAATTCTGGCAGATAGAAAAATTCTGGAATGAGTTCCTTTACGTCGGCCATGTTATGCTTAGACGCGGAGAGCCATGCTTCCTTTATACTGTTAAACATTCTATCTGCCAAGTCGAAATGACCACCCTGAAGACAAATTTCATTACAACCATTCGTCCCATCGTTACGATAGTTATTAAGTAAATCTACGAACCTGTAACCGAAGGAAGTGTTGCGTGAATGGTTCCATTCTCACCAAATAAGAACACACTATCATCGCGGAGGAATAATGAGTCCCGTAATGATAAGGAGGTGTTTCCCCGTGTGGATCATCCCACTCTTTATATCTCTTCTTGAACTGTAGTAACCGTTCTGGACTTTGAGCGCCCATAGGTTTACTGAAATCTCTGAACGTTGCCGGATCAGTGAGGTCCAATTCCTCGGTATCGTAATCGGCCAAAATCCATGGGAATATCGGATATTGCATTAAATCATTGTAGCTACGACCCGCCAAAGTGTTCAGATGCATCAGATATTGAAAATTAGATATCTCGCCCCTCTGGAAGTATAACGATCCTTATAACTGCGACGTGAACTTATAAAAAACATGAATTAAACTACGAACCACCCATCGTTGCGTTACAGAAGTTTCGCCGATCAGATTCGAGAGTAAACCGGTAGCTTGCTCTACGTTCGCTGTTCTCTTCTGACCAGCAACTGACTGTTGCGCGCTGTCGGCGATCGCCGTTGCGAACGTCATGAATCTTTGATAAACTTTATTTCTTACTTTACGCGGGAATGCTAACAAATAATTTCTTCCGTCTCCGCTGAACACTTCCAACGCCATCGGTTGTAACAAATACCTTCTCTTATGTACTTCTCTATAAATCAACAGAGAATCGTCATTAACATTGTTTAAATATTAGACAAGAAAAGATTTATTACCTGATATCCTCGTAATTGAATTTCGAGCATTGCCTCATGGCCCTGGATCTTCTGGGTGAGCCTGGCGATGGTAAAATTGGCTCATAAGCCTCGGGTAAAGATTCGATATCTCTTATTTCTCTTGATTTCAACAATGTGAACCCGTCGACAACGTAAAAGTGCTCTTTCCCGAATAAAAGCAAGCCTTCTGTTGTATCCAATCCCTGAATCCTTGCGCATCGGAACATGTGACTTATCTAAAAAGAAAACAACTTAAACGTGCGATAGGCAATTTAATAAATTACTTATAGCGAAAGCAGGAACCAACTTTTTCGTTCTCCTCTAGTAATCGTATCAAAGTCTGATTGTCTGGAACAGTCTGATTATTTTCCTCTTCTTGTTCATTGTCCTCCGGCGCCTCGTCTGGTTCGCTGGCGTGTCGTTCTAATGTGCACGGCATCATCGGTGGCTCGCTTTCCGTAGAACTATCGTTTACGTTCAACGGTGTGTCATCGATAACGGGATCACGCTCGCGTTCAAACATGCCGGACGAATTCCCGAGTTGCTTCAAGTAGTATTCCTTACTGTCGGTGCTTGTCGCGACTTTGTACTTCAATTGCTTCTACAAAAAGATCCAACCAAGTTATTGTTGACGCTGATCCAGCCTTTCCTTATTTAAACGAAAATATCTCACATTATCAGGATGCTCTAGTTCAGGCCGGTATGGATAGTGTATATAAAACAGTTCATTCTTCATCATTTTCTTCCTCATCCTGCATGGGCCCTCCGTCATATCCAACATCCATTTGTCCAGCCTAGTAGGCGTCGGTGGTCCCCACAAACCACGTTCTCTCGTTAATTCGGTTTCAGTTTGTAACCATTCCTGCATTATTAACGTTATCAATAAGATCCTCGACACATACAACGATTTTTTAATCATTTCCTTACTTGATACACGTAACGCTGAGTGTGCTGATTAGTTTGTATATATTGCAAACGTTTGGCCACGGCAAGTTCGCGGACTAAAGCAATGTGTTGTTCCGTCCACTGGGCAACTGTATTCTGATGCAATCTCAGCCTGACTCGCACAGACTCTTCTTTACGAACTTTCGTCCGACTTGCTAATCTCGTTAAACCCCCGGTCACTTTTTGGATTTTCTAACAGGGCATCGAATTTCTCATATTATTTGAATCAGATATTTATACTTAGGTACTTACTGATTGTATTTGATTATGGAGCTCCCAAGGAACTCGGTACGAAGCTTTTCTTTCCATAACGACGTAATTTAACCAGAGCCTGGTCGCGGCTTCGTGCACCTGATCTCTTACTATCGACAACTCGGGAGCACGTTCGTTGCCCACGGGTGGTGGGAGCGTGATCTTAAACACTTCCTCGATAGCCGGCTTTTTACACACATACAATTCTTCCCAGACTCTCGTAGCGGCGACAGCCATCAAATTATGTCCTTGGTGAGACGTTAGTCTATCGTCGTTCGGTTCAATCTGCGGGTTCACATGCCACATCGTTTTCGTATTGGTATCGAGCATAACTTTCACGTCAGCCGTCAATTGCAGCAAACAATAAGTCAGGCAACCGATGAATTCTAATTCGTGATTGCCAGCACCGAACACCAGCAATCTACGAAGAATATTTTCAATCAGCATTACAACTTACAATTTTATTTCTAATTGTATCAACATTACCTGTGAGTGGTAAGCTTGTGCAACGCTTCCAACACAGCCATTTGGTCAGCTATCGAGTCTGTTGCTCGGGATAGTAGGAATAAAGTTGTTCTATTCAAACAATGGTGAAGACCCTCCATGCTAACGACCCCGGGTCGCCGTTTCGCTTGTCCAATTAATTTAACGATAAAGTCAAACACTTCGTGCGGATCTTTCGTCAGAGCACCTTGCCACAGTTTGTCGACTATCCTAGCCGCGACGTAACAGACGTTGCTAGTTATATTATTAACCGATCCACCAGGTACGACGGGTAATGCCGCTTGTTCCCCGATTAGAACATCGGCAGCTAACAAGTGTTCCATCAAAATAGAGAGAATTTCCGTTTGGTAACGCGTTTGCTGTCCAGTCGACGCGTGCTCAGGCCACGCTTCCAAAACCAAATCGATAGCTGGCGGAGACTTCGCGCTGACTGGCAAAGAGAGCGAATCTACTACAATAACTCGCATGAAATCCATTACAAACTTCTTTGCCGGATGATTTGTTAAGCCAACGTCTTTCGACGGAGATCGCACCAATACTGGCTCCTGCCAAAATAGTAAAATCTTTTCTCATATCGTTTTTTGAAGAATTAATCGCTAACGGTTCCAAGGTTTACCTCATCGGCTGGGGTGCTAGCTCCGCTGCTATCTTGGCTAGAGCTTGGCGGCTTTGGGAACAGAACACCGGCCAATGCACCCAACACTTCCGCGGACATGAACACTTGCATGAAGTCAGTAAAATTGTGATAAAGAAAGAACAGAAACTGTATTATTGTTACTGGATAATCGGTTAACCAGTCGGGCAAAGATTCAGGGCTGTTAAACAATAATTACCGTAGTTAGTTTTATAGAATAGACGACGCATAACGTAATATGTAATACTTACTTGATTGAATAATTGTTTAACATCGTCCGTACCATGGCCAGTAGAGTGACTACAGCGTCTGGGCACAAATTGATTCTACTTGCGAAAGAAGACAGCGTGTGGTTCGCGGGAACACCGAACAAGAAATTCCATACGTTGTCCAAATCCAGCTACCATTGAGAAACACTTGTTATATTCGGTTTGAACATATATTAAATTATTGTGTCGACAAAGAAGTTCGTTCACTTTTTCATGGCAGAATGAAACACAATTTTCTATACTCGTATGGAACGTATTGAAATAGCAATTGGTTTCTATCGAACAACCCAACTTACCATTCCGATATATCTTGAATGTATTAAACTATACTGACCTTTAGAATTACCTTCGAATCGGTAGGTAACAATTTTACAGGCTGTCCCATCATAAGTCCAATGAAAAGGAAATACAATTCTGGAACGAGATCTACGTGTTGCGGTAACAACCATCCCAAATGCTGAAATCCTGGCACGTGCAGGCCAGATGGTTTAGCTTCGCCGCTTGACATTTGCTGATGACAACCTGATGGCGATGAAAAAGTATTAATTATAAATTGATAAATAGTTTGTCATAAGCTTATCATAATTTACCGAGCGCTAATGCCACTTTATTATGATCCGTGTGGCGTAACCACCCGCCGTTGCTAGTTCCTTCTTTGAACTTTTGTAATATTGGTTGTACAGAACAAATTGCTACTAAAATACGTAATCCCCATATTACAGTGGTGCTATGAAGGCCAGACTGGAGGAACAACAATATCCAATCTAAGCCTAAAACTTTAGCTAACTCTTCGCACATACTGAAACATATTATCGTATTTAAATCATAACAATACTTTATAAACCTCGCTTGTTCTACTTACTTTGCATTTACTTTCGGACCATTGAACAGCAGGGAATGCAAAAGTTGCAAGCATCGATTTCGCAAAAGTATAAGCTCTCCTTCTCCTTCCCTGTTCCCTTCGCTCTCCCGAAGAATCAAGTGCTTTTCAGGGCTCGTAGGTAACGTAGCGACGATGAATTGACCGAACCAAAGTAAATCAGCTTGTCTCGGCTGACTCAATAAAATACTGAGCAGTGCAAGCAATATCTGTCTCGTAGTGCTTTGTTTCACATCGCTCAGAATGTGTAACAGTTTATGCACTAATTGCAGATCCCTCATTAAACGTAAATTCGTTCTTTTCTCGCTTGACTCCGCGATCAATTCGTACAAATGTTCTAAAAGCGATCTCAAAAGTTCGCCTGGTGCTTCGTGCCAAACCTAAAGAGAAACCAATATCTTGTGATGTTTACTCCAACGACAAGTAATAATTGGTTGATAACAAAGACTCGTACTTGCAAATCACACAAGAGATCTTGGAACGCCATAACATTAGGTATCGCACTGGTCTCCCTGCCACTGTCAACTGTACCCACGAGACTGAACGTAAGGTGCAAAATGTGACTGTTCAGAAGAGGACATTTCCTTCTCAGTAACATTGCTAGCGTTTGATATCCTCTTCGACGATCCATTTCCTGCTGAGCAGCTTGATTCGACCTTACGACGCAAACCAGCGCTTTAACAGCCGCGTACAAAGACTCTACGTCCTGGGCCATGGCTATCAGACCTGTTTAAACAAACATTGTTCATTTCTAATGAATATCTTTATTTAACATATAACTAGCCCCACAAAACACTGCTTTCATCTTTTGCAATATTGTCTATGTGTTTCTCATAAAGTTTCTCATGCTAAAAATAAATTCGGAAGTAAAATTGTTCTCTTAAGTACTATTTTCGAAAAATAGCGGTCTTTGTAAAAATGTATAATTTTCGGAAAAAAATGAGTATGACGGAAACGTGATAGAGCATTTCTGCTTCCGGATTTGTTGTTGGCATGAAAAACTATAAAAATCGCGTAGTGGATATTGCTAAAAACATTTCTTGTAGTGTGGTTTACCTAGCAATACGGAACATCCTCCTACGTTGTCGATCATCGTAGCCACGGGTCGAGGATTAAAGACACGGACACCGAGATATCCTACGACGACGCCTCCGAGTGCACGTGCCGGTCCGCTAAGATGTCCAGCCGAATTATGAAGAACTCTAATAGGCGTAGCGTTCTCGTGCGACGACATACCAAGCTATTAAAAAATTTAGTTACTATCTACAAGAAACACGCCAATGAGACGTACTTATCGTACATACTTGTTTAGCGATCGATTTATTATCAGCTCGACTGTAAACTTTTCTAATCTTAGCCAATGTCAATTGAGACATTGCCTTAGCGTTTAATCCAAATACGACCTTTTCCTCCGCGACGAGAGGCATAAACGGCTCGTGTCCTGTAACAGAATTCAATTAGAACATCGAAAAGGTATAAGCGAGCGAATTTAATATGAGATTTATGTTAGTACCTGGCAACTGCGGAGATTGCAAACTTCCCATATAATGCGGACCTAATTTAAACAACGTTGCTATGTTCTGGGCGTTGAACACTTCTTCCACTAAGTGACACGGTCCTTGTTTCCACGTAAGTCTCGAGTATCGCCGCCAGCAAGGTGGCGTGCCTATGTACCCATAGACGGGCGAGGCCACGGTCAGATTTGCTGCTCCACCTCCGGGTACTTGGGTAATGTAATGGAGCTTTTGACTGTGTATATGTTGCCCGTCCAAATACAAAGAGAAACTAGAGTTCTTTAAAACAGCGCGATTCAACACGATGGCTATATGATGCCACTGGCCTTCGTGAAGCAAATCCGGGCACCAGACTCTCGCACCGCATTCGCCAGTCCCTTCCGGCTCCCATTCACCCACATCTAAATTTTTAATCACTGATTAAACATGTATTGTATACGAAGAAGCTATCGAGGAGACTTACTTTGAGGCATCGGTGTCTCTTGCGTGGACACGATAATAGCCTTGTCCCTCGCGCTGAGTACCGCGGTTAAACAAATCAGATCCCTCGTCGATTGCGGAGTACGAACTAGTGTTAACAATCGCACGCAATGAGGATCTGTTCTAGGGTCGCTAAATTTGTCGACGCATATCCATGTACTGTAAGTTAAGCCGGTTTGCGGAGGAAATAATCTATCGCCTAAGAATATAATTATTACGCATATAATGCTATACACGATGTATTCTAATACTTCGATATTCGAAAACAATTCAGTACTCACCGGAACCGATACCACCGAGCACGCTACTGTCCGCAGCTACGACCGTAGGCGGAGTTGTACTTTGCGGTGCAACACTAGGTAAATACAGACAAGCAAATCCTTCTGCGCTCATATCGAGTTCCACGAACGGTGGCAGAGTGCAGGAACCGTGTGCGCGAAAATCCTTCGGCGTGGTCATAGAAACCAGAGTTTTGATGCGCGTCAGCGGCACGGGTCCACCTCGCGGTTTACTCGGTTCGATATCATCGAGAGAGATACAGCACAACGGGTCGCCCAAACGCAGGAATTCCCTGAAGTCCAAACAATTAACATCTGTGATGCTCTGAACGTGTTCATGGTATCTTACCTCAAATCACGTGGCTCTAAAGACTGCGCCGCAAGCCTTTCTATGATATATTGGAGAGGTTGATGCAGAGGATGCGTTTCGTCCTGCAAAGCAATTCTGCCTACTAATAACAATTCCCCAGCCATGCCAGCGTCACACATTATCTGTTGATTCCTTTCGGATCGCACCAAACTTTTTACTATCTCAGAGACGTATAATTGCAGAGCTAAGGCCATTTGCGGATTACAGGGCTCCGAGATCGATGGCAATAAATGTAACATCCCGACGACTATCCCAGGGTGAACTACTATTGGTTCGGGAGCAGGCGGACTCAGGTTCAACGAGTTTATTATCGTTCGCTTCCCGCAGCTCGGTGAATCAAACGATTTCTGCTCAACGCTGTTCTGTTTATGATTCGGCGATCTCATGCCCAAGCCTGCGAGATTTGGCTTGTCGAAGGAATCGAGAGCCACGTCGTATAAAAGTCGCAGCAGCAAACACGCGTACGCCAATGTCTTTGGCATAACGTCCGGAAACACAGGTTCCAACACGCTTCCCGTGAACAGCGTCGATAACATATTATGATAGTTTGTAGTCGGTATCAAATCTATCTCTGTGAGCTTAGTTTGCGTCGAGAAACATCCGAGAAGCCTCAAAGTATCGCATAAACTCGACTGACATATTTCGTGATGGAAAAATTTCGCGTTCGCCGGTTCGAATCGCATGGCGGTGCTTATGGTGTGAAACACGACGTGTAACAATGTCAGTAATTGTGCTTCTTCTTGCGGCGTTCGTTTTATTACATTGTTACAAGGCTCTGCGCTCTCGGACCTCTGCATGCCTAATTGATTCTCTAGAGACACCAAAACGGACATCACGTAAACGAAACCTCCAACTTTTCGGAACACGGTCCTAGTTCGATGAGATTCTCGTAGACACGCCAGTAAAGATTTTAGTATATGTGTTTTTAACACTAAGGCGCTCGATGGTGCCGAATGCATGACGCCTAGTAACGTGGCCATGTCGTCGTCCCCTCCGGCGCTAAGTATCAATTCTCTAACGATACCGAGTGCCTGATAACGGCAATCCATGTAGGGTACGAGATTGTGAGCGCAACGTGCTCCGCCACATTCCCGAAAAACGTTTGCATTTTGGACGTTGCCTGCTAACAACGTCGTCAATGCTTCCATTACTAAGGCACCCAACCGCTCATCTTCCGGGCAAATTTTATACTCTGTGAAAGATTCGAATTATTTGCATGATTTGTATTAGAAGATAGACAATAAAGCACGAAGAGATAAATACCTAATCTTTGATCCTGTGCAGCTTGTTTGTCTTTAAGTAAAGTTGCATAACGATGAAGACATGTAACGAAGACTTCTAACATACCCACTTCTCTGTACACATCTTTAAATATATTATTATGTCTGGAAAAGAGCATTCGAAATCAGTGCGAGAATGATATATAACTAATAGACTGCGGATTTGTATACATGATAACAGTTTAAGAGAAACATTTAAACATCGAAATTCAGCTTTTGATATCTTGAATAGTTTCATACGTTCCGTGCAGTATTTATAATCTCTGTACATTTTGTGATAAATGCATAAAATCCGCAGTTTAATGAGTAATAGTATATATTTTACCTGAGTATGTTGAGGAGCGTTTCCATGCATAAGATACTACAACTGGTTGAATTATTCGTCTTCAATAGTATGGATAGGGATATAAGTTCCTTACAAGGCACGAAATTAAGTTGAAACACTATAAATTCTAATAGCTGAAAGAACTTCTCCTGTATTTCCCGATTCTTTAAATGAATTTTTTCCGCGAACTGGGATAGCGTATTCTGTCCTTCGAGTATAAAATAATTGGCATTATCACTGTGATACACGCTAGATATTGCGTCGAGGATCGTACAACACAAAAGCGGTGAGTTAGACTTCACAAATACAGATTGTAATACTTGAAACGCTTGAATATTTCGAACACTTCCTCCTGGAACAATACAGTTCGATAAGATTCATTCGAGCGAACGTGTTACATTATGTATAAGAATGTTCGTACCTCTATTACTTGGTTGAGGTAGAGTAAAACCAAGCATTTGAAACAATGATCCCATGCTGGCTTGACTTGGTTTTAATTCCGTGTGGCCGCACATCGTTAAAGATGCCAGCATAAGTACTAAATTACGAATTGCGTCTTGCGCTTCCGCTCTGCTATCTTGTTCCAATCTTGATGGAGCATGCCTGTAGAATATAATATTTATAAGAAACTCAAATTCATATTAGATTATTATTATTATTATTATTAATATTACTTCATGAACGAACATAAGCCTTTCAGAATATACAAAGAAAAACAAGGGAAATGTAGATAAACTTAATGATAAATGTAATCAGTTTAAAGAATAAGAAATGGGACAAAGAGAACTGAACGAGAAAATTTTAAGTGTTAAGAAACATTATGCTTGAATATGGGGGTGGACGAAAGAAGTCTTAGTAATTGTAAAATCGGTTCACAGTATAAGACTATTAACGCTATTATGTTGACCATAGAACGTATAGTGGAATTACCTGCTTGAGAATGAAAGAGTGCTTAAAAGAATCTTGGTACATTAAAATTAAAGAACGATCTCGCGACTATGTAAAGAGCCGTTAAGGATTTTGTGTCCAAAGTTCAAGTCTAGCATTAGCCGCCTCTACTCCAAAGACACTAAGTTAGTGCAAACTAATAGCGGCTAGTAGTTATGAGGACATAGTATGATTCAACACTCCAATTGAAGAAATTTGTGTTGAATCTCCTTAAGTTGAACTACATAGAGACGGTGGTAGGGCAGCCAGATTATAAAGCAGTCTATTCTAAGTGAGGCCTGACCAGTGCACAATAAAAGTGCCTCAGTGAGGAAATGTTCTTGAAATGTTTGAATGCTATAACAATGTCATCGTCGATTCTTACTTTAACAAAAATTCCGATAAGAAGATATATCCTTGACAAGCACGAAAATCGTCGAGAAGCGTTTGGGACACCTCGCTAGAATCTTTTAAGAAACAAAACACTGTGACAAACATTTCGACCACTTCCAATGGTGACAGCTCAGGTACACGTTGCATATTATCAACACATAATGCTATACACCCTTTATCTATAATGAAAAATCATTATAAGCAAACGAAGAACATTTTTAATCCACATACTCGCGACGATATACTTACTATGAATGTAGCTCACTACATTTTGAGTAAGTCCGTGCCGGGACAAAGTCATTAATACTTCCGCCGCGCTTTTGCGCCACATTACATTATAGTGAGGGCACCAGGTAGTTATTGCTGAGAATAACAGAGTCAGATCATCCTTCCGGGCAAGCTCTTCCGCCGGGTAAGGATGACTACATAATCTCACCAATAACTAAAAACGAACGTCAGATTTACTATCGAAGAAGTCTTATCAAAACACTTAAATAGTATTTATAAATCTTTTACTTGAACAAATATTTTTTGCAATAGAATTCGCCGCTGTTTCGGAGTAAATTCGCTATTAGCGTCCGTAATATCGGCTTCCTCCTCAACCATCTCGGGCAAATCGAAAAATAGATACAGGCATTTCACCAACGTCGATGGAACAGAAGCAGTGGTCATTGCCTGATAAAATAAGCTCATGTATCAATGTTATATAGAATTCTCATATAAAAACGTGTATATACCTGTATTATAGAAGTGTCGCCTGCTGCCAGCAAATTCAATGCAGACAGCAGCATCCAACCATTGCTCGATTCCTCGCTGTTCTCAATTTCTAGAAATTTGACAATGGCACAACTTGCAGTCTCGGTACTCTGATTGCTCGCCCTTCTGCTGATTTCGAACACCATCAATTTCGACACTTGTTGAGTGAATGCCAAGATGTCCCAGAATTTTTCACTCATCTCTCCCGTTGGACTAGACCCGAACACCTAAACAAATATCAATTATTTACCTGATCTAAGTGAATAATCTAACAAAAAGGAGAATTGTTACATGTAACGCTTACTTTGCAAAACAATGGCAACATATTGTACAGTTTATCATTGCGTTCAGCTTCTGAGAGAGGATGTGGAGGATGGGTGTACTCAGAGAAAAGCTTCTTAAGGTGCATAAGACCCAGAGCAGTGTGCTGCGAATTTGTACTTCCCGTACAGTCGTCTAAGCCACCGGCACTGCTGGAACCCATTCCTCCGACGCTTGTACCCCCTCTTAGTTTACGCATTATGTTCATAGTTATTACTTGCTAAAAGCATAAAATGGAACATGGATCCCATGTGTAACGTACGAATTGATGCATAAAAATTTAAGGCTCAGCTAGACAAAAAAGAATATATATCTTATTAATATATTTTTAACTTACATCACTCATATTTTACGATGAGTACTATGCACATTAATGTATGTTATACATTCTACAAACACAGTCTACACTTATAATGCACCGATAACATTCGTATGACATACTGAGAAAGGTGTTTAGAAACTAATAACGATACAATTGTTGAATTCATGTTACGATTGCCAGATAAATACGTGAGTACTCGTAACGTTCAATTCCCAATTGATTCATTGTACGAACAGCTGATAACAATTTCTACGATCATTATTGCAACAAATAAACTGATCACAGAGGCATATAGACGTTAAACAATTTCCCATACAGAAAATGACATAACTTATTGCATATCGAACGTCGTAGCAATGCGTACGACAAATATCCAATAAAAGCTAAAATTTCCGGATATCGGAGTTCTCGGTGCGTGAACGTTAATTACGCGACAATACGGAGCACTGGATACTAATTGTGCTGTTATTGAAAATGTTCGAACGTATAACATGTGAAAATGGCACATTGTTGTGTAAGACGATTCGAGACATCATTTTTTTTCAGTTTGTCGTGAGACACGGATCGATTTTTGGTGCGCGTCCTACGAATTATTGTGGCCGTACGATCGGTGACACTATCTTCCGCCGAACGGTCAGCCGAATATTTACGTCTACGGCTCCTGTCAAAATGTCAAATTGAAGCGGAGTCGCAGTGCATTTCCTCTGTGACCGCCCACAATCCTCGTGAGCTACACCCCCGGAGACCGCACCGCGGACGTCTACCGCAAACGCAAACAATTAATCGTTTATTACCTGAAACGCGTCACGAGCCGGGAAATTCTACATTTTCTTTCAGTCAATTTGCTCTTGCGGTGAGAGTATTTAATATTTCAGTGGCAGCAGCCATCTTCATGTTCGACGTTTTCTTCGGTCCACAGCCAACGCGATACGTCGACGACGTCGATAACTATCACGTGACGGTACGGTGTTCATAATCAAGGATCTATTCACCTTTTTGAATCCGCGTTAACATCCGACTGCATCCGACCCGCGTAACATCCAAAAAGAAACAAGAATAGGATTCTTAAGCGAGTTCTGTCGATAGTAGAGTTAACAATCAGATTTTACGAATACTTGGTATACTGCTGGCTAAAGCTTTTGAAGGATATGATTAAATTTTAAGAAACCGAGAGTGCCTAAAAAGGTATTATTAAACATTTCATTTTTAAATATTTTATATTGCGAAAAACATACTATTCACATACCGTGAAGGACTTTGACAAATATTGCTAGAAATTCTTTTATAAAAACCAAATATCAACAACAGAATAACGAGATCAACGAAAGAATACCGCAACGAAACTTTCTCATAAGTCGCAATATATGTTCAAATAAAATATATATAGTATCGTTTATTTCATGTCTTCGGCTTTGGAAAGGGTATTACATTTGGTGATAAAACACCTCACTGATATGTATCAACATGTAAAATCCCATGTACAAATAAATTGTTTAATAATTTATTCGTAATTACTAGCCTACCAGTATACCAAATGTCATCAAATTCTATTAATTCTATTATTGATAGAACTCTCTTAATAAAAGTAGGATACGTTTGCAAAATTAATCACTTCTTTATTCCTTCTCATTATTGCAATATATACAAATTGCACCTATCTACAATTTTATCTTCAAACGTGTTTGGGTAAAAGAAATATTTAATTTATTCGGTGGAAAAAGTTCGAAATCTTTGTCTGTTCAGATTTCTTTGTAGAAGACTGACGTTTTTCGTTCGAACTTTGGAGCGACTCGTGCGTACTTTGCTTATCCATAGATTTTGATTGACAGGTCTCCTCTTTAATCGATTGGCTACAATTATCCGCTTGATGAGATGCACGGTCCAGCGTTGTATCAAATAATTCAAGAGCGGATCGACGTTCTTGGGACGTTTTAACTTGCGCGCCTCCGGTATCATTTAACAATTCCCACAGAGAAGGTTTCTTCTTCTTCTCCAAATTATCGCTATCAGAATTTTCTTCTTTGCCTTTCCTTGTACTGTCCATTTCCGAGACTCCTACCGCATCTTCGTTTCGAATCTCAGTTTTCCTTTCGTTATCGGCGTCTCCATCGACGCCACACAACCAGCTTTGTATTTTTTCTTCCTCTGTTTCTTGATGTTTACTCACGTAAGAGCGTTTCTCTTTATTATTAGGACTATCTTTTTTCCTAAAAGGCTTGGTTGAGCAACTTTTCATACTTGACTCATGACAATATTGAGCAGGCGGTTCTTTCTTAATTCGATTATACAAGAAACGATAAAAATCCGCATTTCTATTTGATACATACTCTTGGTATTGTACCATCGATTGGAAAATAGTAGCTAAAATGCAATATAATTAATGGTTCTTTTTATTAATTCATACTTTACTACGTCTCAACACATACCTATACTTATTTCATGTTTCACAAGATGCATATACATCTCGGCAACATCGTCTCGTAAGCTTGTATCGCCGAAAGTAAAATATACAATCGATCGACCGGCTACAGCCGCGGCCATCAATTGTAACAAACTTTTCAGCTTAGCATTTCCCCGAAAAGCTCCGCAGCCCCAATTCCCAGTCGCAACAGCCGGAAGATTTGTTCTGCAACTCCTTTCGCAACCGACAAATCCGACATAGGCCTACAAAAATTGCAATTACTTCGTAACGGATTCACCTAATTTATGTTTTGATTGAAATAGATGTTCAACCTTGTTAAGTTCCCTTCGTATATTACTTATATTGAACTGCGTTTGCGGATACGTAAAACGGAGAGCATCGATCGCGACGACAGACGTCAATCGCCTTCCGCTACTGTCCCGAGGCGTCTCGTCGTCGTAATTTCCTACCCACTGAAAAGTTTTGCTATACCCTTTGCATTCGCTGTATCGTTCAACGCCGCAAACAATCAACGCCTCGGTATCGTCTAGTTCTTCCGCAACGAGCATCGTTACAAGCAATTCTGGACAGATCACGAATCTTATTTCTTCTTGCACGCATCCTCGGCTGAGAACACCACCACCTACGAACCTGATTATTTTTAATTATTTTCAATAACAAATCTAATTTATACAATACCGATTACGAGTGTGCGACGTACTTGTTAGCGAAATCTACTTGCAGGAGTCCTTTCCCGTTTTCTATCGTACCTCTACTGGTAATGTGTAACGGTAAAAGTGTTTGTACTTGTTCCTCCCATTTCGGGCAGTTCGAGATTGGAATATAACGCCGTTGTATTGTAACTACACCTTCCGGGGCTGCTCTATGAAAATTGTAACAATTAAATATTGGTATTTTGTTAAACAAGTCGCAATGTACACACCTTTACACGTTACTCTCCTAAAATAATGTAAAATACATTTTATCTTCTCCATTAACGATCCACGCTTATTAGAGTTTCTTCCTCTACATTGTGAATACAATCTGTAAGAGTCTTCATATTAATCAGAGAAATGTGTCTGCTTGCTTTCAATCTTATTCATAGAATTCAGCGATTAAATAAAATACTGTACGTAATTAGATAAAAAAATACTTTTGGAAATTGATGTGTGGATATCTTCCGTATTCAGATTGCGGATTAGTTGAATTACGTCTTGGAAATGTACAGAAAAATGCGTTAGCAAGCAATGAGGCTATTTGTAACTGGCTAAGACTTATGGTTCGATTAGTGTGACGCTTTAAAAGGGGCACTGGACCAGTTACCAAAACAGGCAGTTGCAGAGCAAGTTGAACCATTTTTGGCAACAACGTATCGAAGAAACTCCGTGTTTCTTCCTCATCGAGTACCTTCAATTTAATATTATCGCACAGTCAGGATATCCAATATTCATCTAAAAGAGATTTAAAAATGTTACCTCAGAGAAGAAAATATGTAACGTGCTAAAGTCCCAACGTTGCGCATACAAATGATTGTAAGAGAGTATTGCAGCTTCTAGTTGGTGAGTTGAAACAAAATTCTGGATCAATGCCTGTTGGATTATTTCCCATCTATTTTGACAACGACGAGATCCGTTCTTTAACGAAGAGTGGAGGCAATTGTTATATTCATTCATAAGATCGAATTTCATGTAGCATGTTTGATTTATTTACCTCGTCTATTGGATACATACTATGCTTTGAGCATGGCATTCGTACATAGTCTGGAGACCATTTGTCTACCGGATGCGCAGGATATGGTTTTGGTACTCCATGTACAGGCATTGGTAACTGTACAGAACAATCTTTAAGTTGACACCTCGAGATAGGTACTGGTGAAACTATTCTACTTTCATTTCATTCTTACCGATATTAATACTGCGTGAGACTCGGAAGGAGAAATAGGTGGCAACTCCTGGGAACCGTACACACCTGCTCCTTTATATATTTCATCCATACTTACACCTTTCCATTCAGGAACATTGTTCAGAGGTTCTGGTTCATTTATATCGATTGACAAGGAACTTGCTTCAAAAGTAAGATAAAATAGATGATGACGAATATAATCGATGATCATAATTAAAGTTCGAGGAGAAAAGAAATTGAAGATTTGTTTAATATATCTTACAATCGTCAGAAGTTAAAGGGTTACTTGTCATGTTTTCATCGTTGAACATATCTGGAGAGACTGGTGCTTCCTCTAAGGACAATCCATGGTCCGACATAATTTCCTCACTAACAGAATTATAAATAAAATTCGATAGTGATGAAAAATAAGGACAAACGATACAATGCGAAATAAAATTAAATCTTCACATTTCCGAAAATGAGACTACCACATACAAAATTTGCTATCCAAACAAAATATCAGGTGTAAAAGAGAATCTCTGAGATATATTAGTAAATTATTCGTATTTTATGCATTAAGAAAACGATGTTATGTGTGCATATGCACATCACTTGGTCACAATTCTACACAACGTGAAATGCGAAAGTAAACATAATGCACTAAGAAAGAAATGACGTATTTTCATATTATAAATGTGAAAAACTGCATGTGCATTCTGAACATCCAATGTTTACGTTTAGTATTGAAATTGGATAAAAGGATTCCTTTGGACCTGCTTGTTGCATTTTATCTCACGTCTCTAGAAATGCAATTTTTGATTTATTTACTCAAATTTGCAAGGAAGGATGAAAGTGACCAGAGTGGAAGTGTGACTTTGCACGTACATATAGGAAAATGTTACTGTAAATAATAATTGATTCATATTTTATTTCGCTGTGTACTTTGTGAATTCCTGATTCTAATACCTGTCCATCACTTCGATGCTTCTGTTGCAAACAATCACTGACAACCGAACATTGTCAGTGACTGTTACATGCTGTTACACTTTTATGTATAGGCACTCTGTACGATTTTTGGATAATTACAGATTTTCCTTCTCGTTTATATCTTGTGTACTTGTGTGTACTCAACAGCAACAGTACTCAATGTTGCTCCATGTTGCTCAATGTATCGAGTTCAACAGGAAAACATTCTATTTGAGATGGCAGCACACGAAAACACAGTTAGGATCAGTTAGGATGGGCGTTGGAAGTAAACTGAAGTAAACGTTCCACCCTCCTCGTATAATGAATCACAATTAAAATTAATTGTTTCTTTAATTACAGTCGTTTATATTAATTTTATGATAACATGGCAAAGCAACTGCGATTACTATTATGTATTCTCTACTTCATATGCCACTGTGAGTATTAACAATTTAACAAATTTAAGAATGTATCAATTGTTGTTTGTCTACAATTGCTACAGAGTAGCTTAATTTATTAAAATACGAATCATGAAGATTTTCTCAATTATCAAATCTTCCGAAATATTATTCACCTTTCAGTTACGTATTCCGTCCAAGAATCTTGCCAAATACCATTAGTTATAAGAGGATCATGGTTCTCTTGGGAAAATGGGAGAAACACATTAACAGAAATAAATGCTGAGACGATGACTGATCGTGGATATTGCATCGATATGCTGGAGGAATATCATGTAAATTACACATTTATTTTTAAGAGCGAGCAGTGCTATCACTGTGTTAAATTGATCGTTAGGACAGTGAACGTCTTGGAGAAGCTTGAAGGTAAAATAGTTGTAATAGTTAAAAGAATTAGTAACGTTACGAGATCGTTATTTCTAAATTGCAGCGTATTGTGTCAATTTGCCTAATGGTATCGAGCCCACAGTGGATAACGTTTGTCGAGGATTGAGACCAGATCAACAACTGATAACATTATTCTCAGAAAATTATGTACCTGTTAATTGTAGATCTTCTCTCGAAGGTGTTTGGCAGTTTGCTTATCAGGTACGTATTGTGTAATGATCTTCTATAAAAATGAAGTTAACTCTTTTCTTTATTGTTACAGAATCGATTTAGATTCACAGGAGAATGTAATCATCCCGGTGCACAAATTAGATCATGCCAAACTGCAGGAACGCAATTCTTGATAACAAATCAGAAATTCAATATCACTTACAAACAGTGTACCGGCATGAAGAATACCTTCGACGGAAGTAATTATCGTTGACTCAATCAGAGTTTTGTCGCAATTTTTACTGTTCTAACTGTACTATCTTTCAGTTGTCGAATACAGTTGCTTGGGAGACTGGTTCGTGGATAAAAATCACTTTTTCGCAGTTGCGAACACGAAGGAATCGAGGAAGGATGAGAAATATCGATGTTTCTTAAAAAATCGTGACGACGATCTTTACATCGGTGTATCTATCACTGCCGAGTGCAACACTTTAAAGACAGTTGAAAAAAGCCCAGAACGTTTAAGAGTAACGCCTGTTAAAGCAGAAGTAGTAGAACCAGGTTGCAGATTACCGGAAGATATGAGCGGACAATGGATAAACACTGCCAACATCGATGCAGACGTATTCATCAATGAGACTCATATAATTGAAACTTATTATCCAGACGAAGGTCGATACAGGCGTACAATTTATGTGTGCCGCGAGTCGAGAGATACCAGGGTGATGATGGCTAGATTAACTGTCGACGGATGGTACGAATATTTAATATGATCAAACAAATACTTGATTTATTAATTGATTTTTATTTTTAGCCAAAAAGATTACGTTTGTTTCGATTTTGTACGTCGACATCACAATATCATTCGATATCGTCGCGGTCTTGCCGTTATTAAAGATGATTTTCATACTGTATGCTCTTGGGTTCAGTTTCCTAATAAGGAGGCTTGGAAGTATGATTTACTTCTAGGTCAGTATAATATATCTTTCGAGTATCTTAGGATCGTTTGTCACAGACTTTTTTATACTTCCAGCTAGGAACCCTGTGCCAGTACGCTGTCCAGTGGCTGGCAAATATAAGTTTATACAGAAAGGAGATGTCTTGTTTGAAACTAGAATTTTGGGAGGTGTCACGTTGTCTCCTCGTCCGAATATTTATTGCAAGGAAAATATCTCGGACTTCTCCGTATGCGATACCGATCAAAAGGAAATAGCTATCGACGAAACCTACTGCTTGTCGGTAGATCATTTAGGAAGACCCGTAGATATTTACAGTAAGTTGAAATTATCGCATAAAGTTTTAAATAAGGTTGAATATTCCAAATTTGATTCTGAAATATAGGTCTGCCGGATTACAAGATGAAATGTATTGGGTTTTGGAAAGAAAATTTAAAGTCGTATTTAATAACGTTCGACGAGTTAGATCCCTTTAGTAAATATCGTTGCTGGGTTTATCAGAGAGCAGATCTGAACAAAGTTTTGATGTCTCAAGCTATCGGACCGTTTTGCGATCTTAAACAAGATGTTACAAGCAGTAATTACACTGAAGGGGCCGCGGTTGCATTAGAGATGCAGGTAATAAAATTCTTCCGTATGTCCCGGAATATGACTCGATGCAAAGATTTCTAATGAAATCTTTTACTTTAGGAATATGAAAGAGAACGCGACCAATGTCCCATGTATTTTGATGATGGGACTAATCCTTGGGCAGTAACCGAGAATTTTGTACAAGTATTCCATTACGGAGGTGGAGGTGTAAAGGTTTCTTCCTCGTATCTGTCCATACTCTCGGTATTTACCATAAATTATATAGTAAGAAGTATATTTGCGATTCACACATAGTTTTATCGCAATAATCATTTAAGAATTTTATTAGAATTAACTAGATATACAGTTTAGCAATACTTTCGATCTGACACAATTAAGTCCGTCCATTTAGTGTACATAAAGTTTATTAGATTCGTACAACAACTAACACATCGTAAATACGTAATGCATTTATGTCGATTTTATATTATAGATTTCTACTATATATCGAAACAAAAGTGTATGATAAAACTACTAAGTGCCTTTATCACATTATAACGAACAAATGTGTTTTTACAATATGAAATCTCATTTTTATTGTAATCAAATGTTTAAGGATAAGTTTTAAAATTGCGTCCATTTTAATTTCTACTTTTTACAATATTTGATATTTACTATTGTTTTTGTAAACATGTTTGAAATAAAGTACAATTTTAAATTTATACCTGAATTAAATATCTACGAATAAACTGTGAGATAAGAGAAAATTATTTTGTCCAGCTGACTTTAGGTATGTCGAAGTGTTCCGTCAAGCTGTCCAAATGTCGATTGAACTCTTCTACCCTCTGTTTATGTGTCATCGAAGCCTTTTGTTTTATCCTTTCAGTTTGCTATAAGTAAGATTGAGAAGTTAATTAAAAATATTCTACAAGTCTTCTCGATTAAATAACAGCTTACCATTTTTTCTTGCATCTTCTGAAAAGCTATCTCAGCTTTCGTACGCTTGATTTCTGTGGTCTTAGGTTTCTCTTCCTCTACAATTTTCGTCATTTCCACCAATTTCTTCTTTTTACCTTCTTTATTTTTCTTCCTATTTTCAAGCGATTAATATTAATATTGTTAATTGTTCGATAACTGTCAAACCTGATGCACTTTAAGTTAACCTACAAATATCTGTCATATACATACTTCTTACATATGCCTTGATCATTTTTTAATTTTAATGCCCCTTTCGCTGCGTACGCGTAAGGGTCATCGTCGGCCGTCGACGGCATGTTAACGTTTTATTCTGTTTTTAATTCTCTCACTTGCAACTAAAATCTCACGTTATACACAAACAATGTACAGAAACAGGACTCAGTAAGCTTAATGTGTGCTGTGTGTGTCCAACACGATTCCTGACCCCCACGTGCCGTTCATACACACTGCACAGATGCAACAATTAAATTTTCATTATGCATGCCCATTTTCTTTGTCGCGATTAGATAAGATATTTTAAAAAATAACGATTTTATCATTTTTTAAAGAGTTAATTTACATTTCTGACATCTCGAGATTTCATTTGATGAATCATGTTTCGTCAAAATTAAGTATAAACAGAGAAACTTTCTTTCTGGTATAAAAATCTTTTTTCTTATTGACTAAAATGACTGAGTTTCAGAAAAATTCAGACTGAAATAAACTGCTAGGTAGCAAACTTTGTAGCTAAGATCTTAATTCGAATTTTAATTAGAATTCATTTGTATTTCAATCGAGTTCAAATATTTATTCTTCATATCTCATTATCATTCTGTCATTTCATTAGGATTTGAAATCTAAAACTTAGATTATAAAGTCTAAGATTTAATTTAAGATATTGAGGACTTAGAATACATTTTTCTATATTTCGGTAAGAAAATTAAATTAAATCGGAACGAAAGGTCAAATTGTTTTTAAGTATCTGTCAAGCTGTCAAATGTTGAACAGACGAGATATTCATAGCACTTGTATTAATGATTGCATGTATGCATGCTGAGTGGGTCGGGAATCGTTTTTGGCAGCTGTACCCAACACGAATCAACCTTAGGCGAATGAATCGATTCTCAAATAATCGACTAAATAGCTTAAAAATCTGATACTGTTTGAAAAAGATACATTTTATTCATATCTTTTTTACTAATAAAAATTTGTTTAAAGGCAAGCTTCCATTTAAAAAATGGATTACATCGTTTTATTCTTCTTTTATATATATATGTGTGTGTGTATATACATAACACAATTGTCATGTTTAAAGGATCATAATAAATTGGTATAATATTGTTAATAATTCATCATTAATTATACAAGTTTACTCAGCACAATATTTGTGTACATATAGCAATCAATTGTTCATATCCTCTATGCCGTGATTTAATTAATCTTCATTAAATAGTTCCGAAAATGTGTACTATATGGTAATTGATATTATTTTGCGCCTGTATTCGTACTATCTACCATCGTCTCTACATTAATCGTTAAATGCTATTTGTTTTTCCGTCTCCTGATGGTTTTAAGTTAGAATATAACAGCACTTAAACTGGTTATCTAAAAACGCAATATAAAAAATTGTTGCTTAGGTCTAAGGTGCTTTGCAGGATGTATGTGTCTTTGTTATCATTCCCATGAGCGTATTTGGTTTAAGCATATTTTTTCTTTTTTATCATTCATTAAACTTTCCATGATACGATTGAATATACAACAGCTAGGACTTAAATTTAGAAAAAAAAAAGAAAATCATCTACGACAATCGATTAATCAATCCGGAATAAAATCATTTGTTGAACACTCCGACGCATGTTTGATCCCCGTTCTATCAATATCTTGGGCTCTCTTGATAAGAATGTATAAGAACATAAAATTAAATACACGTATTAACGAACACCACTTCTAGAATGTGCTATAAGCCACTGCAACGTTATATCGATATTGTCTTTCTCTTTACAGGAAATACTGTAGCAACAAATTTCACGATCCTGAATTGCCGACAAGTTCCTGAAAAATAAATGACGTGCGTTAGTGTTGTTAATCACTGGTTGCACTTCCCTGTTCCAAGTGATAGACGTACATTCTTTCTATGAGTCCGTTCTCGTCCAAAGCATGAGGTAAGTCCCTTTTGTTACCAAGAACCAGTACCGGTATACCAGATAATTGAGGTTTGTCTAGCAAGTTGTGCAACTCGTTGCGGCTCGCTTCTATCTTTTCCGAGTCTGCTGCATCGACCATGTACACTATTGCATTCACGCCTCTGCAATATCTTTCCCACATAGATCTAAACCTCGGTTGTCCTCCGATATCCCACACTTTTATAGTGACGTTTCCTTTCGTTATTTTACGCATATTGAAGCCGACAGTGGGGATCATGTCTTCGCTGAATTGTCCCGACTGAAAAAGACACACGAACAATGGAATACGGAAAATGTGCTGGCAAATCATGCCCCACTAATTATTCCGAAGCGACAGACTTGCTTCGGGATTTAAAGAGGAAAGTTTCCCAAATATTTTATGCAGAGATGCGTTAGGGCGGGTGCGAGATTTCATTAGTTAACTCGAACGGGGTATAGAATCTAACCAAAACGACACACGTTTTGTACTCTTATTCCGATGAATTTGACCGATTCAAAGCACGTACGAGCGCGAGTTGATTGCGAGTCTCGTCAAACGGCATCGAGGATAAGAATATGGATCGTTGAATCGCGGTAGCAGTATGCAAATGCCCGTACCGCAATAACATTTACGAAGGTGGTCTTGCCACTGTACTGCAAGCCGACAAGGGTGAGTTCCATCTCCTCTTTCCAAAAGAGGGATTTAAACCAGTCCAGAATCCGATTGATGAGCGCCAACATTTTTTATCGCGATCGGAGGATATCCAGCTCCACCGGTAGAATTGGTACACTCAAAGTATGCCGCTCACTGGCTTTGACATGTAGTCATTTGCACCTTCGTGTACCGACGTCAGCCCGTCAACTTCGGAGATGCAACTATGCACCGCGCTAGTCAGAAGCCGCCGCTGACTAATCGCTACTGCTGTCCACGATCCGACAATACACTGGATACGAATTTTTATCTCGCGCAAAACTGGTATGAGCTACCGCTACGAGCAATTCTATCACGGACAGTAATGATAGCCGAATGATGGCCGAGTGATCTTTTGACAGTTCGAGCATTGATGCGCAGCAGAAGACGTTCCAGCGATTCTCAATCTTGGTTTGTAGCTACCAAAAACGATTCCCGACCCACTTGCCAGACGCACATGTAACAATTATATTAGTGTTAGTGCGATGAATAATTCTATTCGACGTCGACAATTTGAGAGATGTAAACAATTTTAATCTTCTACGATTTAATCTAATTTATATAGAAAGAGCTATTCTGAATTCACGGTCTTGAATTAAGTATGTATCTCTGAGCTGCTCTCAAAGCTTCAAATTTGAAATCCTGACGAACACAATAATATTGATATAAAATGGGAAAAGGTAATTGTTGGAATTTTTGTTCACGTCCCAATCTCTAATCAATAGCGTATCTTCCTATTTGCAAGAAAACGAGAAAAGTCCAGAAGAAAAAAAGTAGTCGTTATTATGCATATAAAACCAGGCCCCAGCAATGGCCTTAGGCTTGGCCGTTTTCCCAAAAAGCATTCTTCTAAATCGGTGCAACGCGCGTTTGTAAGTCTTTTCTGATTACTTTGTTACGTATGCAGATTTAGCATTAGTTGAGTTTTATTTTCAGCAATTTTTGATATATCATTTTATGTTATCTTAAAATTAAGCCAGTGAGTAGAAATTGGACATCTTCTTTATATAGAATATAATTCATGTACAACAATATTTGAGTTCGATTGCAATATAAATAAACCACAACTAAAATTCTGAAATCTGACACTTTGATCGAGATGAAGAATTTTTATATTTCCAGTTCCGTTGCGCAGATTTTAATGAATGAAACTTAAATCAAAGCTAGAGTTCCCAGAAATATAAATGATTTCTTTGTAAATGACAAAATCGTTATTCGTTAAAATATTTTGTTTAGTCGTTATAAGGAAAGTTGGCACCAACTCTACTCTCTTGGCAATGCATAATGAAAATGTAATTTTTGCATGTGTGCATGCCAAGTGGTCGGAAATCGTTTTGAGTAGTTTTACATAGTAAAAATATTTGGTGCAAATAATGGATGATTCATCAAATAGCGAAGTAGATCGACAATCTCTTATGGGCAACTTCGTAGATGAATTACTCATCCCGTGATAACGTTATTGTTTTGTATCGATTGTGGAGCAAAGATCATGTTCTACACTGTTATGAGTCACGAAATAGATGTAAGTTTAAAATAGTGTAGCTTCATTTTATGAGTAGGATCAACGTATATATGTGGTGCGATTTCTGCCATTCGGATTTATAATGTATATTATTATATATAATATTAACTATATATTATATATATATAATGTAAATTATATATTATATATATTATTACGCAGGCATGGGAAGTAAACGAAACATAGCATTAGAAAGCAATGACCATAATGGAAATAGATGTTCAGTTGCATATATATATATGTATATATACACATATATACACAGGGGTCAGGGTGCTGGACTACTGATAGGAACAATTTAAAGGCATTAAAATAAGACGAATTGCTTCCGAGGGTAATTCATTAGTTATTAACAATTAAACATTGTTCATAACTGGATCTCAGTTACAACGTAATTTATCATCGATCTCAAGCGGAGAAAATCCTTTTGTTATCGTTGTTACCAAGGTGTTCATGGGGAGCACAGTGCGCAGTCACTACTAGAACCCCCATGCCTTATTACGTTAATGAGATGTAAATGAGGAATAAATTGATACGTAAGTTAGAAAGATGTATCTTTTTCTACGATAGAAGCAGACATCGATAGCACAAAAATCCGATATATCCGATTATATTGCGTTATGATTTTGACATTTTAAAGACATGCACAGAAAAGATCTATTTAAGTGTCTCTTCATTAAGATATCTGGATGCATTTGCTTAATATAATTAAAATAGATCTTTCCTGATCGTTTCAGATACAGGCGCTCACTTGTATTCAGGCTACATAGTTTTTTTAAGTACTGACTTAATCGATTAAGATATAATGAAACTTGAAACAGTCTTCGTTAGATAGAGCCTTCTTGTGTTTCATTTAATTCAGATCAGTAAAATAAATAAGGTTTATAAGAGTTTATTGAAATTTACAATAATGTTATTTAGTTTTACAAGTTCTTATTTATAGACTATTATATGTAATAGTATGTAGCTAACAGTGAGAGCTATAACTTTTGTTTGTAACGTTCTCTGTTAGCATCAAAATAATTAACGAGTAGCTGAAGAAATACGAAATTTGAATTTTTTGCATCCTACCAATGTATACATACATAATCGGAACCGATAGACACAGGTTGCTGTTGCTAGGGTCCCTGGATTCTACGGCTTCAACATTTTTAACAGCCGCAAGCAGTCGTAAACATGAAACCAACGAACGCCGCATAAAACGTGGTCCTTCATCGGCGGTCGGAAATACAAACAATTTTAAAATAAGTAATACTACTTGTCAGTTTCTTTAATATGGACAACAGTCTTCCGAATTTAACAACAAGTGAAACCGCCGAAGTAAGTATTCCATTTTCGACAACTTTTACTTCGAATTAAAGATAGTATCTAATAGTTAGGTTAGTTTAAATTTTGAATTGTACTCTCTACTAATACATAAATAAATGATATTTAAAATTTAATAAAACACTTCATATTGAACTACGAAAATCTAACATTGTGTTAAACATGATTCCATCCCTTCGTGCATATTCTGTTATTCTTCATAACTATTGAAATGAATTGTTAATTAACTATTATTAGTTTAATCGTAGCGTTGATTACAAATTTTTATTTAAATTTACCACAGATACCGAATTTATGAATTTATTTACAGGAAGATCCTCCTGATTTACATAAACTGACAAAAACATGTATCATGTTAAAGAAACGAATTTCGGAGAGCCAGTAAGTTGATTGAAATCTTAATTGGCATTGTTTTCTCTTACTTGTATAATTATTGTTAATAAAAACTAATTTCTTTATTAGCGAATTGATCAAGCAATACAATGATAAAGTAAAAGAATGCGAGCGTTTAAAGCACGATCTGGCTGCAGCGAAGAGTCAAGTACATAAAATAACTTGTACTCATAACTCCACGTTATCAAAAATTATAAAGTTGGAACTTGTAAGTAAAAAAATAAACATGTTACTGAAATTCTCAAACTGAGAGAAATATCTGAATCGATATCTCATCTGTAGAAAAATACAGAATACAAGAAGGATATTGAAACTCTGACCACACAAAACCAGGACCATACTGTAAAAGCAGCAGCTGACGAACAGCATATACAGCAACTAATATGCAAAATAAAAGATATAGAAGGAAAGCAAAATGATAAAATGCTACAGTATGATTTAGAGAAATCTTCGCTTCAAGGTATGCAAGGTAAATCTAAATATGTTAAACATATTAAAGAATTCTACTTTCGATTGCAGTTAAGGTAAAAGAATTAGAACAGGAGTTAAAGAGTGCTAGAAAGCTGCATGACACAAAAATAAAGAAGATCGAGAAGAGGCATACAGTGGAGAATGAAAATAGTAAGTTAAAGAAAACATTTTTGGATTTGATTTATGGAGAATTAAATTTGATTACAGAACCGAAATATAAAGATGCTGAAGTTAATACAGAACCGATTGAAGACGCAGTGATCGAAAAACCGGAACTGGTGGACAAATGTATATTGACCGACGAATGTTATAACGTGAAAAATAACGTATATCCTATATACTGCAATAAGTGTGAAATTCTCATGGAACCACCACCCGTAGAAAAAATATGCAGGGTAATATCCAGGGCGTGCCCAAAGCTTATCGAAAGAATTCCATCCCCACCGATAAGACCATTACAAGTATCAACGGGTAAGATGATTTACCTTTGTACTATTATTACCTTATATATTGTTATAAATATTATAATATATTATTACCTTATATATAATAGATTTAAGTAACGGGTAATTTATTTTCAGGTTCAAATACCGACGAGTACAGAGCTGAAAACGTGCCCTATTATACCGGTTCGACACCGATGGCAAACACGAATAACAGTAATCTAAATAATCATTCTCAAAGTATAGCCACGATCGCGTCGTCGTTGGCGATTATTCCCTGGTTCCAAACAAAAGTAGATACATTGGAGGCGAAGGTATCCTTGTTAGAAAAGAAATTAAGCAAGATGAAGTCCCAGCAGAACAATACTTATAATTATCATTCGAATTCTCGTCACGGACACGACTCAAACAACCTTCTCGAGCTGTGGAAAGCAATGACTGATTTTTATAAGAACGGAGGAATTGAGAACTTTGACATGGATGACAAGAGATCGAAATCTAGAACGAAAAGAAAAGATACGCACTCTGACTCTTGGAATGTTGAATCGGTTATGAAGAGGACTGATCTAAGTTCCAATTCTATTGAAAGGTTTAAGAAGACCAAACAGCGAAATAAATCGGACAGTTCACCGATCGTTATTGAAGATTTAGAAGAATTGGACAGTAACTCGGATGCATGCACCGATCCGTTTAATTATGATACTTTAGAATCTGAAGACATGCAACGCGTAAAACCATCCTCGTCTTCAAATGTTGAACCTACGAACAGGCTAGAGTGTGGTAAATCGGTAGGAGGCGAGACCGATTCGGGTATACTATCAGATTCTATGCAACCTGAATCAGATATGGATTTGACAGAATTAAGAAATCTAGAAACGACCATGTCCTCTATGCGGAGATCATATTGTACCAAAAATATGGAATCTACACTTGTAAAGAAGCCTGTGATAAAAGTTGCATCAAACTTAACAGAGTCTGATAAATCCATCGAAGAAAATACAATGGAGATGTCAATAAAAGAAAATGAACGTATAGCACATACAGAGCACGATAATAGAGTGGAAGAAATTGAGAATGATGATCTTATTTGTACAAGGATCACGCGAAAGAGAAAATTTGAATCTGGGGAAGTGAAGAAGTCTGACAACCGGAAAAAATTATTACAGAAACTAAGAAGCTTAAAGAAGACTAGTAAAGTAGAAACGTGCCCGAAAACTTTGCAACACCGAAATGTAAGTGAAAGTTCTCGTACCGAGAAGAAGGAAAGTTCTCGTACCGAGAAGAAGGAAAGTCTCGTAAAAGAATTATTTGCAGAGAGTAGTAACGAGGACGAATACGTGCCTAAGAAGAAGCTTCGCATAGCACACGTGCCCAAAACTGAACAAAAGTCATCACACATGAGCAAACGGTTGGTACAAATTGTGAAAAACGATATTCAAAATAGGTCGGATAATAATGATTTCAATAAATTGGACGATACAGAAAATCGTGATTCAAGTATATTGGATGATGTGGAAAATCGCGATTCAAGTATATTAGATAATACGGAAAATCGTGATTTAAGTATATTTGATGAAACGGAAAATCGTGATTCAACTATATTGGATGATACGGAAAATCGCGATTTAAGTATATTGGATGATACGGAAAATCGTGCTGACCAAGATACAGTAAATTCTAACACTGAGAATATTGTAAAGGATACTGTTCCAATGATTTCTGAGACTGCAAATTCGTTTAATGACGCAGAGAATAAAAGAGACAATACTACAGACTTGGACGGAATGGAACTAATCGAGACCACGACTGCAAATAATTCTTTAGATATAAGCAAAGTTCAAGAACCGGAACAGAGATCGAACGACAAACATTCGTCGCATACGTCGGAAATTCCTGCTGTAAGGAAAACAAGTATTAACTCTGAGACAATTAATGATATCGCCGTTGACAAGGAAGATTCTAACACAAATTGTGAAACAAAGATTATACAGACTCCGTTGATGAGATTGCAGCAGCATGTTACTAAAAATTATAATTCAAATAAAACTAAAAACAAGCAGAAGGTACTTGAGCGGGTTCATGTAGTGGATGAATTCGTGAAAAAACAATTACAAAGGCTTGCAAGTAGCGATTGGCAGACCTTCGTGCACTGGGATGTGATTGAAAAATTGAAATCTACGATTAGCGCTCGTATCATAGCAAAAGGAGTAGTAGAGTTTTTAAGCATGGAAATGGAACATCCGGAACCCTTGGACAAAAGTCACACACCGCCCGCACCATTAATGACCAGAACGCAGCAGAAAATTGTAACGTTATTATTCGATCTGGGAGAACAGAAATCCGAGGTGTTTCAATTGATTCAAGCCGCTATAGAGTACAAATTATTCAGGCTTAGTCAGGCTCTACATGTACGTTCGTCTTTCATTATTCTAATACGTCTATAAGTTCGATTTATTAATTAATTATTTTAATTCATTTAGAAATCAGTTATAGAGTCCTTATCTAGAGTGTACACGGTTATAGCGCGGATTAAAAAGGACCGGGAAAGAGTAAGAATGTTTTGCTGCGATGCCTTGTACTGTTTGGGACTTAACGCCGTGCCCGTTTTATACGTAGTACTCACTAGCTGGCCAGAAGTATTTCCAAATAATGAAACGAATTCTAGTATGTACACGTCTTGGATTTGAAGATTTTTTAATTTAAAGTTTAATCTGTTTCTTATATGTAATTTCGTTTATAGGACCATTGCTCAAATGTATGGCACATATAATTATGTCGATACAGGCCACAAATTTTCCGAAACTTAATTCCTTGAAAAATTTGTTATCGGTGTACTACAAATATCCAATGGGATCCGTGTCTACTGAAATTCTGAGCGAGCTTCTAACGCTGTTGCCAAGTAAGAATGTCCCATTTTCTTTATTAGAGATAGAGCTTGACCGATTCGAACGAATTTATTTTGCAGAAAAATGCGATATCGAAATAGAAACGGCGATTATACTACTTGCAAAGAGGGAAGGTACCCCGTGGACGTATCAAAATATTATCAAGAACGGTCTACTACCGATGATTATTACGCAGAAACTTCCGAGTAGTTATCGAGCATTTTGTCTACTTGGTAAGCATCGAGTCTGATAAATTGATAAATTAATCTCTAGACAGCGGATTTTATGCACTAATAAGAAAATGGTATCGACAGTAAATATAAGAATGTTTGTCATGTTTAAAAATATACGAAATATTAAAATATGAGTCTGTTACAATTTTCACACGATAAAAGAAATATCTATTTAGATTGCATTTTTTTCAGTAACACTATTAATGTTTTTTGCAGGCAGCCTGATGCGCACATTTCCAATAGAAGATAACGACAATTTGGTTGGGGAAATAGTGGCACAATTGTGCGACCTAATTAACTCTGGCGAAGGTAAATTTCTTACGAATTTTCGAAATTTAACGAATATAATTTTTATTTAATGACTATTTAGGATCGGACGAACAGAAAGAAGGTGTTTTCTCAGCGTTATTGAGTTTGTCGCGACACAAATTCGATACCGTGATAGCGAACACAGTGAAATGGGTCCCTTCTGCACCGCTTCAAGATCGAACTATAGAACAAATCAACGGCATGTTAAATCTGCGAACCGTAGAGTACTGGAAGGGTTATTTAAGAAAGAACAAACTATTACCGAGTATTCAGAAGAGGAGTAGAACGTAACGTGTTATTCATTAAGACTGTATTAATTGAAACTTATATTTCTAATAGTTTGACATTGAATGCTTTATTTATTCATGATAACTGTCAGATAAAATGCTCGTTAATTAATCATTGCAATCATTCTGAAATCATTGTCAATGTTTTGTATGTCTTCAACCTTAATGTAACCAGTCTGTGACTGTAGTATTAATGTCAGTTCCTTTTCTAAGTGTTAAAGCATCTGATGTTTATTGTACGTACGTGTAGCCTGCCCCTTTCGCAGGATCGGAATACAATCGTATTAATTAAATATGTACATATTGTACAGATCGTCGTAATGAGGAATTCAAAGAGAAATCAAAGTAACAATCTAGTTTTGGTAAGTCAAAGAAGTCGTTTTGTGAAGAAAACGCTTCAGTAAACTCGTTAACGAGACTTCGTTTCTTTATTCGACAAAAAACGAGGATCATTTTAAGAACATCGTTTTGTTATACCGAAAAATAAAGATATTGGTTTTTTACATTCTGGGTTTCACTAATAACTCCCTCCTTAGTTTTTCAATCAATACGAATAATTTTTAAGATTGTGCCATTGATTAACTAGTCATTATTCTTATCCATTTTAATACGTTAATGTATATTGGATGCAAATAAGGATACATTAATGAATATTGAATGTAACTGATAAGAAATGTACATACTTACATGTGTGGAAGATCTATAATCGAAATGGTGCCGTCTCTCCTAAAAATCCGCCGCAAAGCATACCTCTCCGTTAATTTTGAATACATACTGACAAAATTCGCGCAACTGATAGAATTACACTTTTCCACTCTATATATAATCGATACTAGAATAGTAATCTCGTATGAAAAAAATACGATTGCGTCGAAGTATTCTGAATGAGACCGGTACCTGAACGACTAAGTACTTTTCGTAAACCTCTTTTACACTCGCGCATGGCACAACGTGAATCGAGACTCTACGACTAATTCTACTATATATAACTATTTTATTATTATTTAGGAACAAACAACTAATTCACACACGAATTTGTTTTAAATTCGCGTTTTTCCGTTCGGGGACTGATAGCTTCCCCCAGCTTCCCCGGTGTTCGAAACTACCGTAGCGGAAGTTCTGTCTAATCCAAATGAAAAATATTTGAAAACATTTTCTATACTGAACAGTATTTTCAAACTGTATATTCATCTTTTTACATAAGAATTGTTACGCATTGTAAAGTAGTCTATGGAACTGTATTAAAGACCTTAAAACAATAAGAAAGTACAAAGGAAACAATTAATATTCACGAAAGAAATTTAACATGTCGAATTTAAAAGTATGCAGCCACCTGACGGGACTCAAACTTGCCTTCGGGCTGCTATGTACCTACTGCTACCGCGCCCCTTGATTCTCATACATACAAATCATAAATACCTAAGACGTAGCTACGAGATAATAGTAGGAAAATGTGGAGAGAGAATAAATAAACATTTCCAAATTAAAAATGATCTATTATCTCATATTGTAATGTTACAATAATAATTCGTAATATTTACATTTAACTTAGAATGGCGCCAATATCCACTGGTTGCCAGGTTATTACAATGCTTACTTGCTTACATCGTGCACGTGACTGACAGTTGTTTCTGAAGTTAAGCACCGAAGTTGTTAATTTATGAAAATAAAGCCGAGCTGTTCGATTACTTTGTTCAGTTACTGTAAATGAGAGAAGTTATGGATAAAAATACTCAGGTTGAAGAGGATAATGATGGTAAAGACTTTCATGTATAAAAGTCAGAATATAAAGATGTAACTTAATAACATATAATTACAGAAAATGATGTTTTTCAAAATACTATACCATTGGTGAAAGATTTATTTCATATTTATGGGAAGGTTGGAGAAGGAACTTTCAGTTCTGTGTACTTAGCAACTTTAAAATCATCTGATGGTTCTAAAAAATTTGCATTAAAACATTTAGTTCCTACCAGACATCCTGAGAAAATAGAACGAGAATTACAATGTATGCAGCAGATTGGGTAAGTTTCAGTATTATTTTATTGCAATAATATTTATTACATTTTATACATTAATAAATAGAATTAATTCTTTTAGTGGAAAAGATTATGTAGTTGGATTAGAATTATGTTTACGAAACTTTGAAACCGTAGTATTTGTAATGCCGTATATGAGACATGATAAATTTTCGGTAAAATGTTTTGTTTACCCTTATGTACTGTCAATTGATTAAAAGTTAGAGCAGAGGAGTAATAATATATATTCAATAGGAATATGTGCAAGAGTTGACTGTTCAAGAAACAAAGGAGTATATGATAGCATTACTAACTGCATTGCGGAGAGTTCATAAATTTAATATTATACACAGGGATATTAAACCCAGTAACTTTTTATATGATAGGTGCAATAAAAGGTAAAATATAAGCTATTAGAAGCTTAATATAAGCTTGTAGACACGTAATACATTAACTCTCTATCCTGTAACAGATACTTGTTAGTTGATTTTGGATTAGCTCAAGAGTATGTAGAAGAAAAGAGGTGTAGCAATGTTAAATTAACCAATTCTGAAATACCAACTGTTAAGCGAAAGAGAGTAGATGAGGTAAAATGTTAATTATTTACAGTTGTAATAAGTATTTACGTGCACAAAATTTACTTAACATTTTTTAATATCATCTTAGAATAGCATAAACTTTTCTTTTAAAACGAAGAAAAAGGATGCAGAAAGCTGTTATTGTTTTGGAAAACCAAGAGTTTGTTCGGTATGTATGTTAAGGCCAGAGCAAACAGCTCCAAGGGCTGGTACGCCAGGCTTTCGTGCTCCTGAGGTTCTATTGAAACATGCTTCACAAACGCCTGCTATCGACATTTGGGCAAGTGGAGTGATGATGTTGTGTATTCTAAGTGGTACCCAACCGTTTTTTCATTCACCCGACGACTGTACAGCTTTAGCAGAAATAACAACTATATTTGGATCCAATAAAATGCAGCAATGTGCACGTAAATTAGGTATAAATTACTTTGTAATTTATGTTCTGTGGCATATTCTCTTTTCTTTTCTCTTTTTTCAACTTATAATTTCATTTAGTTTTTATACTTCGAATATTTTTGTTACAATTCAGGAAAAAAAATTATTTTCAATGAAGATATACCAGAGACTGATATCATATCTTTATGTCAGAAATTACAAAAAAGAAATAAGTGTTCATTAGATAGTACAGATCATGACACGTATAAGAAGGTATTTTTATATATAATTTACTTTTTATTTATAAATTGATTAACAGAGAATTGCAGTATATTTTCTATATCGTTAAATGAGACATTACTAAGAATATTATATTAAAAAGAACTTATTGAACATTTTAAGGTACCGCCGAGCACCCAATTTCCAAAGGAAGCTTATCATCTTTTGCTAAAATTATTAGATTTAGATTACAAAACGCGTATCACTGCGGATCAAGCCTTAAATCATCCATTTTTGAAGATGTAATACATATTTTTATGATCAAAATTTTCTTATTACATAGCCTGAACATATTGTCATAAAATTATATCGTTAAAAATTTATAAAAATGCAATTCCATATTGCATGTTATGAAAGTTGTACACATGTGTACAACATGTATACAGAGATTTATTATTTTTTACAAATAAATAATTAAAATTTTTCACAAATAAATAATTTTTATATACTCCTTTCAACATCAACATTACTCAATATTTAAACTGTTAATAAATGCAACATTTTAACAACTTATCTACACGTAAAAGAAGATACTTAAATATCCGGTCCTTTTTCATTACATTGTATACAATAAAAAATAAAATTGAACACACAGTTTAGGCACTTTGTGATATGAAGTACATATCATTAGGAAAACTAAGTGTTTATTTATTTGCTTTGTATGCTTATCATTCGACGTTCTCTAAATTATCCGTATTCTGTGACGATTGCGATGGTTGTTGTTCATTTTCATATTTTCGAATAAGTTTCCATTCTGCTGCAGCTTCCAATGCTTTCGCAGCTAGGTCTTTTATCCTCTTATCTTTAACTGCTTCGTCTTTTGTAAGAGCCATTAGAATCTCCATTACATCTGTTTCCACTAACTTAGCTGCAACATCTACAGCACCTTTCATCATGTTGTAAGCAATTACGACGCCTCTATGTTGTAAGTCAGAATTTGGATTAGCTAATAAATAGCGTAGTGATTCCAACCATTCTTTTGAATCGAAAATTTTGAAACAGGCTTTTACACTAGCTGATGTTAACATTGCTAATGCTCCTGCTGCTGCTATACTTGTATCTAGATCTTCATATTGACAAAGTATGACCAGATATTTCACTCTGTCATTCTCCTGTTCGAAATACTTTATCGTGTCTTCGCACATCATTAAATTATTTACAACTTGCGTGGCTGCACGCGTCAACATTTCATGATCCTCGTACATATAGCTTTCAATCTTCTGGAAACCTTCTTCTTTCAAAATTCGCTTCCTAACAGCATCGTTAACACCAGCCAAGTTGCATAAAGCCATTAAAGCTTCAAAGTTCTCAAGAGCACTACATTCGGGGTTTAAAAGATTTATGAATGGTCTAACTACTTCCATTATTCTTTGACCAGGGAATGCGACCTCCGGATTTATTGTAATTCCTAAACGGGCAAGAGCTTGCGATGCTTGTTTCTTTCCTTTCTCCGTACCATCTAACGCTAATGGTAACAGTGCTTTTGCACCACCCTGTTGAACGACAATCCCCCGTACTTCGTGTTGACTACAAATCGCATTAAACACGCGCGCTATCAATTCTTTGCTGTTCTGGCTTTCTGTTTTAGAAAGTGCAACTAACGCAGACGTTACACCAGCTTTAGCTAGCGCAATTACTCTTTTGTTCACAAAATCTGGATCATCAAGTTCATGTTCTTCCGGTATATGCTGCTTCGCAAACTTTGCCAATTCAATCATTTCTGGTATAATTTCTTGTTTATCGTAAGCATTACATAAATTCACTAATGTAGTAACAACACCGTAAACTACAGACTGATCTCCAGTTTTAGCTAGCTCTATCATTGCCTGAATCGCTTCGCGATCTTCAATCACTTTCTCTTTAACTTCGGCATCGAACGTAAGATACGACAATCCTTCCACTGCCCACTTTCTCATATCCTTTTGCTTTTTAGGATTGATTAAGAATCTTCTACAAGCTTCGGCCAATTTCTTCGTTGCTCCATCAGCAAATGGTCTGATCGTAGCATCTGTACCACCTGAACCACCTAATTTACACAATCCTACCAGAGCGCGTACTCTAATAGAATCGTCTTTCGACTGATACAATTTCTTCAATATGTTCACGCCTTGATTAACAATCGCAGTAACTTTATCCTTTTTCGATGCAGCGGCGATTATACATTCACAAGCAACCTTTTGTTGTAGTACGTCATCCGTTCCTGCCATAACAAGTATCATTTGCAAAATACCTTCTTTAGCAATTATCGAATTTCCCACATCTAGTGGACCAAGCAGTAGGGTTGTTATAGCGACTACAACGCGGACCTAATTAAAGTAAAATATAACATAGAGTGTTACACAATTATTGTTGCAAGATTAATAAAAAGAATGTAATAAAGAACAACTTATTACCTTAGATTCAATATCTGGTGTAAGTAGTTTATCTTTAACATATTCATCAATGGCATTTCTGAATCTCTCCTTCGCTGCATCGTAATACATATTATCATAAATTCTTGCAAGACATACACTTGTTAAAGTTCTAGTGGACGGTGTAATATCCATTGAGGATTCATATTTAAATTCTTCAAGTTCACTCGCAACTTCCATTAAACGTTGCAAACCACGAAGATCGACTAGTCGTTCTGCCCAATTTAAGGCGGTGTAATGAATGTTGCGCATAACAAGTTCTATGAGTGCATCTCTAGCCAATCCAGTAATTGTTCTACTTGTTACGCTATATAATAAGCAAGATAAAATAGTATCTATTTCCTTGTTATATTTATCGCATAATTCTTTGATCGGTTTCGACTCTGGTTTGTTCTCCATACCGCTGTATGTGTTCAGTACAGTCTGTAACATACAGTTATAAATTATCTTTTTGTTTTAATGGAACATAATATTTTTTAATACTTGATTCATTTACAAACCTGTAGGCAATACTGAGCAGCATTCACTCTTTCTGTGAGTTTACTGTTAATCATTTCTAAATACCACGGTATACCAATGTCTTTTATGATACTCTTTGTTCTATCAATGTTATTTTTACACAACTCGGCAATAATCCGGATACCAGTTGTCACTATTTCATCGTTTTTCTCAAGTTTCAATATCCGCGTTATTTTATTAACAATTCCTTCCTTAAACATAATTTCTGCTCCTGCTCTTTCTCTGGCAAGAACAAGCAAATTGTTCATTGCTGTTTCCCGTTTTTCATTATCACTATTTGCTTCGAAAGCTATGTTCATCATTTGTGATACCTACAAAAAAGAATAATTACTGATAAAACACAGTATCTCATTGAAAAACATTATCTTGTGAAAATGTTGTATGTAATTGACCACTATAATTTTTTAGTTTCACGTCATATAAAATCAGTTAGTATATGTAAAGTAATTTTGATGTACAAACCTTGGCACTGACACGAGAACTTTCTTTATATCTCTCTTGTACAATTTCATGTAGCCTTGCAGCAATAGGTTGAATCGCCTTATTAGTGGGATCAGCAGAAATGATATACCTGGCATCACGATATGCTTCTTCAAATCTTTTTAATGCTTCCAAAGCTTGGCATCTACGAAACAACGCCTTAGGATCGTTTGGACATATTTTAAGGGCTTCGTCGCAATCTTTCACTGCCTTATCATATTCTTCCTGTTTTAAATACACAGCAGCACGATTTTTATAATATATTGCTTTCTCAGAGTTATCTTCTTTCTCAAGTTTTAGTGCATTTGTGTAACAATTTAAGGCTTCTGACCAATTGCTCTTATTGAATTCTGCATTGCCCTTTTCCTTCCATTCGTGTGCAGTTGTTACTTTCGTCAT